GACTTGACGGCCTTTGAAAACTCAATGTGCATTTAAAATACTGGGTTATATGTAGTCTGGAAAGGAGAAAAGAAGCACGTGACATCAAACAGGCTGCACCATCAACTGACATGTTACCAGCAACATAGTATAAAGAGAATTCCATAACTAGCCCTCAGTGAGAAAAAAATGTCCACATGTTATGCTTGTAAAATGAATAATGTATGTGAGAACCTGGCAAATTATTTTTCTAGAATTGTATTTCAACTTTGGACTTTAAGGAGCGTAGACATTAGTGATTTTGATATTTGAGGACTGCAGCATTTGGAATTGTGTTTTAGGGGGACCTCAGCCACCGTTAAAATTCCTGAACAGAATGGTGGCTGTATTAACGACCTCCCTTTTGCTATGACGAAACACCATGACCCAGGCAACTTATGGAAGCAAAAGCTTATGATTTCAGAGGAATCAGAGTCCTGCCTGGCAAGGAAGCATAGTAGCAGGCGGCGTCAGGGTGGCGGGAACAGTTGAGAGGTTACTTCGTGGTCCACGCATGCTCCTTTGCTGTTGTTGAAATGGAAATTCTGTTTGTGCAACAGAAGAAGAAAACACGGTGAATATGAGAGAGAAGTTCAGAAATAAACATAAGAGTCAGTTGTCTTTAGTGGAACCCAGGCTTGTGTTGCAGTAAGAGAAATGGCCACAAACTCTGGAATTCTGAGTCCCGAGCCAAGCGTGCTACCCCGTTGCAACACTAATAACCCTGTAACCAAATACATTACCCCACAGCAACATGGGGACCAGAAGCGGTCTTTGCGGGGGCTTGTGGAAACAGCCAACATGAACAGCCCTCTTTACAGAGGATTTTATTTGTTTAGCTCTCTCTGGTCTTTGTGCTACAATCTGAAAGTTTTCGTGTGTTTCTCTTGAAAAACGCCTTTTTATTCCGGGAAGCAACTCTTTACAATTACGTGCCCTAACGTGGCGGCGGAGATCCTGTGAAAGCTCATAGGGTGCCAGGAAGGACGGAGGAGAGAGCGGGGGTATCTGAGCTCAGACATCACGTCTCAAAGAAGAAGGATTCAATTAAGATCGCTCCAATAAATGTCCTTTGTCTCCTTCTCCTCGCGACACTCCAGGCCACAGCTTCCTGCCTGCCTTTCATTTTCAATCCTCCTGCTTGGATCACATAATGTTCCTGGCACAGTGTGAATGACTTTTCTCATCCTCCCCTCACACCAGGCTTGGGTTCTGTCATCTGCGGCTGTCAATGCAAAGATGCAAATGAAAGCTCCTCTGAGGTGAAGGGAAGCCTGCAGGGCATTGCCCCGCCGCTGCCCCAGCAGGGTGTGAGCCTGCCACCGGGGAACTAGGCATATTTCACTGTTCTTGGCTTTTGTGACCTCATACCCACCTCCCCCGCCCCCTCCCCCAGAACTACCCCAACCACCAACCACCTCAGTTCTATTTTTTCGTCACTGCTAATATCTCCCTCCCAGACTCACTCAACAAATACTCACTCACCTCTCTTTAGCCATTCTAAAACAGAACTCTCACGTTCCATTGATGTGGATCTGGTATAATCCAAGCTGGACACAGACCCACCCCCCATTTTTATAATTCTCCTTTCCGTGTGGTTGCTACACTTCTGCCTGTCTGCGTGTCCAGTGCCCTGTACAGTCCTAGTATTATCTGGATTGATTATTCCCCATCTTCCAGCTCCTGCTGGAAGGAAAGCATGTGATCAGCAAAGAGAATTTGATATCTGTGTTTCACATAGATACACTACTGACTATCAGTTTTTCAAGAGAAACACATGAAAACTTTCAGATTGTAGCACAAAGACTAGAGCTAAACAAATAAAATCCTCCCATACACAGGCCGAGATGGGGAGAGTATTTCCATACAAATTGTTCTAGTGTCCCCTGCCTACTGGTTTGGAACCAAGAGTCAGAAAACCCTGTGCTCTGTGCTCCCCACGAGCCTCAGATCAAAATCCAACATATCCTCTCAGGTGTCCATTGACATCATAAGAAATTCGGTTATTTCTGGCCACTTGGACCATTGTCACAGATTCTTAGATTTCTGGTATCAGCACCACTGGTATCCTACATCAAATCCTTCTGCCCCGGCTAACATCCATTATCATCAACCTCCACTGCTCCTCAGCCTGGCTTAGTCATTACTCATCCTGTGGGTGTGCTGTCTCCACTCTTCCTTCAGCAAGGGCTTTCCCCGTGCCTGCACACGGCAGGGATGGAGGAAAGGAAGGGGTTCTTGTTTGGTCTTGCTTCTATTACCCTTTGCCTTTAACTCCTCCTGCCTTAAACTCTCCGTTGTTGGGATCAGTGAGACCAGTGCCTATAGCTGCTCTCAGCAGGAAACCTTCAGCAGAAACCAGTGGTTTCTGGTGGGTTTGGCTGGGGCGTGGCTATCTCTATATAATCTGCCCCTAAACACAATAAAGGGGGCATTCTTGGGGAATTCAAGGATGACCCGTGTCTCTGTCTCTCTGTCTGTGTGTGTTTGTGTATTTTAACCTCCACCCCCTTGCCCGAAGCTTGCTAACTGGGTAATAGCGCACTGAGCGCAGACACTGGGGCGTGAAGCGCGGCCCTCCGTCTCCTTGGAAGTCACTTTTCTTCTTCGCTGGCTTCCTCTGAAGGCGTCACTCAGCTTCAATCTTCAAAGATTTCAACTTCAGACCCTTTGTTCCTCATAAATACCTCCAACCCCATTATAATACCTGATGATTTTCTCGTCTATGTTGAGGACACCACCTCTGGGATTTTACATTCTTGGCCTCCTTTCCAAAGATCTTCCCCACTCTATCTTAACTGATCACAGGCCAGGCCCTTGTAAATGACCACAAAATGTCACTTTCTAAGCTTTATTTTTACTGCTGTGTTGTCTCTTTAGCGCTCTCTCCCCCAGTCCTGAGTCCGGTGATTCCTCAGCCTCACCTTAAACACCAGCCCAGTTCATGGATTCTACCTTCTTTTCCACAGAGTCACAATCTCCAGACCCTATTCTGTTCCAGTTCCATCATAGACTCCACCACGCCTTGTTGAATCCCTGGCTTTCCCACCCATCCTTGTCCTGGGTCACCACATTCTGCCTTACTCTTGGCTGAATTTTTATCACTTTGAAAACTATTTACCTCTGTTTCCAAATAGCTGAATATGGCAAGAGAGGACGACGTGCAAGAGCTGTCTTTAGCTAAGTGGTAACACACTCAGGTTACATATGCAGGTGTGAGGATCCCTTGCCAGGCAGTGGAACATGAAGAAGGTTATGACACCAAACCTCCTGGCTCAGATTCCCTATTCTGCCACTTGCAAGCTGTATATTTATGAATTATTTATTTTCACTGTTCCTGGCTTAGTCTTTTCATCTGTAAAATGGGAAGAAAAAAAATAATATTTAGCTCTGGGCTTGTAGTGACCTTGGATCTTGGACCCTACTGTAAAACAACTACTTCATTTCTCCTCCCTTCTTTCATATTTTCTCCTAAATCTACTCCTGAAGTGTGTCCAGCTCCACCCCCAAATACACAATGCTCTCTCAGAAGGACTTCTATCAGGGTTATCAATGACCTGACCACTCTGCTGATGTCATGCTAATTTCACCGTCCTTGTCTTGCTGGGTCAGTCAGACCGGGCAGGGCTGTGCTTAGCTGGAGGATATTCCCTGCTCACTTTCATCTTCTTTTCTCTTGACCACTGTTCCTTCGGACTCCCTTGTGATAACGTCTCATTTTTTGATCACTAAATAACATGAGACGTGAGGCAGGAGTCCTTGGCTACCAGTTTGCCTCTCTTCGCATGGATTCCTTTCATTATCTCATACAGTTTCAAGTGTCAAATGTCATCTCTAAGCTGATGTCCCAACTGTCCTCAGGGAATTTGTCCCTTTCTGCAGGTCTCAGCTTTAATTTTGCTTTGCACAAGGCTTCCCAAGGCTATGCTATTAAAATAAGAATCCCCACCCATCACTCTATGTCTTTCCCCAACTCTTATTACTCTTTGTCTTTCCCCTGATTTGTTTTTGTACAATAGCACTTATTTGTAGATTAAAAGTCTTGTAAAAATAGGAATGTATTGCACATAGAAAGCTACCTAGCGATGCTCACTGACTAAAACCATGATCTCATTCAGCCTCAGAAATCCCCCAACAATCCTGTTAGAGAGCTTATTACAGATGAAGAAGCAGACTAAGGTTAACTCGTTGCCTCAGAGCTGGCAATGCAGGGAGCCTCGTACTCAAGTGCACATGGCTCAACAGCCATAAAGGACTAGGGGATCAGACCATGGGGCACTTTTCCCTAGGTACAGAGCTTAGCGATGGGGCAACAGAGAAGCCCTAGGTGGCCACGATGGGAGGTGGGAAGCTGGAGAGTGACCTGGCTTTGGAGCTGACTTACTTGACCATTTCCAGTTCCCTTGTCACTCAATCATGTGAACTTTTTGGGTCTACTTTGGTGTCTCATTGAAAGTTGACTAATAGCATATTTCGTGTTTGTTTTGCTATCATTTGAAGTGTCATGATAATAGTTGAGTCAAGAATTAGTTCAGTTCTCCAAACCAAGTTTTCTTTGAGAGCTACAACATAAGAAGCCTTCTTGCTGTTTCCATAGCAGCCTGTGAGTTGACATAATCCCTAAAGAAGCTTATACGCTTATACTAGAGAACCTTTCACTGTGCCCATGTGATGGCTTGAAATGCCGTGGCTTGCTAAGTATACTAGCAAAATGCTGAGCTAACTGCAGGGCGTGGTATAGTTCCAGCTGTAGTTACAGATGCTTTCCAAAAGCCCAGTTGAATGGACCATTAAAATACCCATTTTTAAAATAATTGACTTTAGAGTATGCACTCTGTGAACTCTGATCTTTCGGTTTCTCCATACATGGGGTCACGAGTTTAAAAGAGATATTTCCCTACACAAGGCAGATGTTGTGAGTTCATAGATAAAAATGGATAACATTTCCATGATGTAACGGGCTGCTGTTTTCTGTTTCAAAGGGATCCAGCTGTTCACCCTCCCATACCTCCAAAACCCCGCTCTCCCATTGCGTCTCCTAAACAACTGAGACAGAGTAACAGGTAAGAACTGCCCTTCTGAGTGTCTCGCTGGGATGTTGAAGGGAAGTGATAGTAAAGGAATTGTGAATGGCGTTGTGCAAGGGATGGTCCTGCTTTCTGTGTGCATTCACACAGAACTTCCATCAGGCCACTTTTGCTTTAGAATAGTACAGGCTATTGCCTGATTTAGGGAACTATATCCTTGAAATAGCTGTGGACCAATAGAATTGAAGTGTTTGGATGAAAGTTTCTTATATATTAGTACATATATATATATAATATGTATATATATGACATATATCTCATGCCTATTAAATGTAAACCACATTAAATGTCGTATGTGAATCTATTTCATTTCTATTTTCCTGCAGTTAAGATTCTCATTAAGAGCTATATATTGTGATGCGGAAAATTCTTACAGCTTTGGGTTACTACCCAAGTCCTCAATTATGCTTGAGATAATTTTAGGCTGTTGCTTGAGTTTTTTTTTTTTTTTTTTTTCTTTTTCGAGACAGGGTTTCTCCGTAGCTTTTTTGGTTCCTGCCACATAGTTTATAATCTTGATCCATTTTTCAAGATGAATGTTCCCTCTTTTCATTAGTACTGTCAGGTTAGATCTCAGCATCTCAGTGGGGATTGAGCGTATTGGATTTCCCTGAATGCTTGTCTTTACGTCTCTTGTAATTTTGGCCTTGTGAGGGGGAGTTTTGATGCCATGTAAGACACAATTATAGAACCATTCTTCATAAGACACATTTATAGAGGCATTTTATTTTAAATAAGAGGGTGACCTGCTAGAAAGTGTTGACCAAAAAACAGGGGTGTGTGGTACCATGTGTTCATCCTTACGGGGAACCACTCCAGAGCTACCCATAAAATCCCTCCGGATTGCTGAGAAATTTCCTCCTTAGGATATTGCTTTAATGAGTCAAGAGAATAGTTTTTCACTGAACTAATTAATAATATGGATTAGTTTTTATAACTTCTCGTTTCTGTAACGATTATAATTATCTCATAAGAGCAATGTCTCAAGCTTCCTGTCTTACATGATTGGTCCTCTTAGTCTTATAGTATTTAAGCAATTAAGTCATAATTAGAATAGATTTTTTTCGAGGAACTGAAATAAGCTGTTCCTGTACCACCTAAATTCTAATCTAAAACCATTGACACTAGAGGGCTGCACATGTTTATATTCGGAAAAGGCTTAATTCCATAGGACTTGGTCAAATCCACTTTACTATGCTCATTTCTTTCAGTAATGATCCAAAAAAAATAAAATTAGGACAACATGCGTGTAAAAAAAAAAACCCTGATTACTTTAATCACAGCATGGTGACTTTAACGAACGAATATGAAAGGGAAGTAATTAACACAGGTTCTCAGGAGAGCAAAAAAATAGTTGGATATAGCTTCTCGAGAATAAGCAAGAATGTATAAGTAGGTCAGCCACAGTCTAAGGAAAAGAGAGAAGTCTTATAAATTCTGACAGCCTAGCATTGTACAATTTACTGCTGTCAGTTCAGTGTGGACCTTCTTGGTGGGGTAGACATTTTTGAAATATAGACTTATTTCTTTTTTACTTTAGTAAATACATTTTTTGGTAGTATTCACATGGGGTTGTCTTTAAGGAAAAGTCTGATTTGGGTGTCTAACAACAAAAGGGATTCTTAATATTTAAGATGTTATATAATTATCTAGTGGAGATAAAGACAAAACACTTTGATGAATGGAAATAAAATGATCCCATCTAGATGAGACACAAATGAAGTGCCTAGTGCTCTAAAGCAGATGAAGAGACATCAGCGTTGTAAAGTTAGCACCTTTCACATTTTAGGCTTTCAAAAAGGGGGATGATGGAATTCTTAGCCAATACAAAAAACTAAGGTAAAATTTTTGTTAATCGTATAATATTTATATTTGTGAACAGAAATGTATTCTCATACATATAATTTAACATGGAAGAGTTTTCCTACCTAACAGGCGTTATTTTTAAAAATCTAGGCAGATACATGCAGCTACATCAGGTGCATACGGAGAAGCCAATAGACATCTTGAAAGAAATATCAGGTATAAAACTCTCTGCTGTCTATATATGTGTAATTGTACCAGTGGTAAAGCATGCTTTGCTGGAGTACTTCAAAAAAGTAAGTTAGATAAAATCAGTTTTCTTTTCAACTTTAGCTATAATGAGTAAGCTGTTTTTGAGACGGGGTTGCACTACGGAGCCCTTGCTATAAAGAGTAAACTCTTTTTGAGATGGGGTTGCACTGTGTAACCCTTGCTATAAAAAATAAACTCTTTTTGAGATGGGGTTGGACTACATAGCCCTTGCTATAAAGAGTAAACTCTTTTTGAGGCGGGGTTGCACTATGTAACCTTCGCTGCCCTGGACTTTGCTATGCACACAAGGCCAGCCCCAATTTTACAGAGGTCCATCTGCTCCTGCATCCATTGTGCTGGTTTTAAAGTGTGGCACCATGCCTGGCTAGGTAACACATGCTTTTATAGGTTCTTGTTCTTTAAATTTTTCTGAAGATTTACATTGCAAATTCCAAATTGTCTGAGCATAAGGACAGGATGGGAGGATGGGATGAAAGTCCTTGCAGGAAGGAGGTTTGCTGGTCTCATGTTTCCTGACTTGCTTCAAGATATAGGACCCTGCTGCTGGGGGCGTGAATGAACAATGGGAAATAGTTTTGCTAAGTTGGACTTGCACTGTCAAAGCTTTCCCTTGGTCCTGGCAGTTGTGTGCAGCCTCTCTGGCAGCATCGGGACAGGCTCACCCTTCATGGGGATTAATTTGGTAAGGAAGCATTTCCCCACCATGGTCCAGATTTACACCTGTTTTATACATCCTACCTAGGTGAGCATTGATTCTGGATATGTTTTGCTTGCGTTTCTTCTTCTTTATTATTTATGAAAAATAATAGCTTTGGAGAATCCTTTTCTTTTTTAAAGCCAGGCATGGTGGCACATACCTGTAATCCCAGCCTTTATGAGGCAGGAGCAAGAGGATTCTTGCAAGTTTGAGATCATTATGGTAAACACAGTGAGATCTAGGACAGTCAGCCTGCATATGGAAGGCTGAATATGGGAGAGATGGTCTTCCTTAGGGAAGCACACACAATACCGAACAGTCAGCCAGCCTTAGAATTGTGTTGCACACAAATTCATTATACAGGCTGAGTAGCTTGCACTTATGCACCGTTAGTGAAAACAAGAGACTTTGAATCTGAAAAACAGCAAGGGGGTTTATGAAATAGTTTGGAGGGAGAAAAGGGAGAGAGAAATAATGTCATTACATTATAATCTCAGAAAAGGAACTTTGGGGGGTGGTGAGCCTTGTCTTTAACAGATGAGCCATCTCTCCAGCCCAGAAATTTTTTCTCTTAAAAAAACCAGACTGAAAGATTATAACCTTGCTATTTTATAGTTTAATAGTTTCATCAGTATAATAAGCAAAAAAAAATGGCTAAGATATTTTCCAAAGTAAAACGTCTTTTGCATTATCCCTCTGACTGTCAGAAGAGCCCCAGTTTGAAGCACAGATGACACAGATACCTTAGACTCGGGAAGAATCTGACTTTCCTGTACTGACAAGTTTTTGTGAAACTCTCATCACCTCCCACATTGCGCTGTGTATGTCACGTGACGCCAGTGCATCTTCTATGGGGGTTTAATGGCCCCGTGCTCTGAAGGAGTCAGTGTCTGTGTGCACCGTGAGTGGAGACGATGGGACCAACTCTTCGTTCCAGTCAGCTTGGCACTGTGGCCTACCCTTTCCTTCACCAGCCATGCTAGGAAGTGTAGTTCCAACAGTTAGCTCCTTGCCCGCTGATCTTCTTCTCTTTCTGTTCTCTGAAGGACTGAGGATCTCGATGACATCATCAGGGTGGCTGCTTCGCTTCAGAAGACGGACAAGGGGTGAGGTCCCAAGGCTCGCAAACTTGTGTTCTCCCTCGTGTTTGTGATCTAAAAGCCAACCACTGCCCCTGCAATATCTAAATATGAACCAATCCCCGTGCTGCTTATTGTAAATAATTAAGAAGGAAAATATCTCCCAGTGTCTCTTTGTAAGTATCTGTGCATAGTAGATATGCTGACATTTGTAAATACTCATCTTGATCATTCACTTTGTCTTCTCTTCCTAATGACCTCAGGTCTCAGTCAGATCTCCAGGCCCATATTTGTGTTGCTAGCCCAGATATCCATTTACTTTTGCCCTTAGTGACTCCATTCCAAATATCCTTGGACTGTGATCAACTTTCTTGATAGATATGCTGTTTTCTGCTTCTGTTCTTCTATCCCCGCAGGCTTGACTTTCCAGGTGTTCTCAGTTCTTCCATCCCTTCACACTCTGTGAAGTATAGGTTTGTATAACCTAAACATCTACGCTGTCTCTTGTACATACATGGACACAGATCAAGCCCTCACTGTGTCCGGGATAAGAGGCTAGCATGGCTATTCAAAATCACTTATACTCCTCTAGCCTCTCTTCTTCTGCCCCTGAATGCCAGATATTTCTCTGTAGATATCTGCCATGACTCCCCACTGCCCATCAAGTTACACATAGCTACATTTGCTAAACCGGATTGAGAATAATTCAGCTCCAGAATAATTTCCGACTTCACCCACGTATTTAGCCCATATTTGAACCAGCTTTGACCACTGACTTTCTACAGTTCCCAGACACACTTGTTTCTGCCATCCCCTCCACGTGCTCACCCCTATCAGTCTCAATGCCACCATGTCTAGCTATTCAAACCCTACCATTTTTCAAGGTTCAGGTCACGAATGAGCTGCCCTGTGAAGTCTTCCTTGTGTGACCCCGTGGCGTGTGGCTCTTGCCTGTCTCAGGGATTCCAGACCTGGTGTTTCTGGTGCACAGATCTGCACCAGCGTGTCGTCTTCTCTTAATCTGTCACCTCTCTCACTTTCATCTTCGGGGACGTTACTTTGTCACCAAAGATCATTTACATGTTACCATGCAGCTTTGTCCAGAGGTGGACTGTATGGAAACCCTGGATGAAAATATCTCATTGCTTTAATCCTTAATGCAAGAATATGAAAACCCTGGATGCAAATATCTCATTGCTTCAGTCCCTAATGCATGAAGTTTCTCCCCATTTAAATGTCATTAAGCAATGACAAGGATTTACTGGAGTGTATCTCACTAAAAATCAAACCAAACAACGACCCCCATCCGTAGCAAAGTCTGGATGTGCCGGCACACACCTTCAATCCCGACACTTGGGAGGCTGCGGGAAAAGGGCAGCCTGGGCTACAGAGTGAGACCCTCTCACAACAGCCACCGTTACCTGACCACAGGGGACAGTGACTCGTGGGTCTCTGGGCAGCTAATAGGACCTTTGCATTAGATGGAAACTCCAGAAAGTGTCATGTTTGATGTTCAAGTCTCATTCTCTCATTTAAGCGCCTACATTTCTAATATTATGAATTCACTTTAAAGTAAACTCTTCAGGACTGCCTTAAACATGCAGGAAAGTGATCTGTCTCAGATTACCTCAGCTTTTTTTTTTTCTTTTCTTTTTTTTAAATTTCAAATCAAGGTCCCTTTAGGTTTCCCAGCTGGGTCTTGTGCTCACCCTGTGGCCCAAGCAGGTCTTGAGCTTGTGATGCTTATGATTCACCTTCCTGAGTACCTGGGGTTACAGGTCTCACCAAGCCACCCGGGTTACTATTTTGTTCTTGTTAATGATGGGACAAGTTTCCCGCTGGAGACTGAGGGCAGGACAAGTCAGTGACGCTGAGGAGCAGTGACAATGTGACTTAAGTCATACCACACAGTGGGAGCAGCAGTCACTCGGCTCTCCTGCCCCTGCCCCTGCCCCTAGCCACTGGCACAAATCTCACAGAGACATACATTAGCCACGGAGAGAGAACACTGCTTTCACACGCCCAGGGAAATCGCTCTAAAGGGAGCAGAAAGAGTTTCATTATCCCAGCTGCTCTTTGTGGACTAGAGAGCTTTGCTATCTGATGAAGGGCATTTAATTTGTGGCAAAGACAATGGCGAAACTTAATATCTAAAGCTTTTTATCAATTTACAGTCATTTTGAAAGCTTGGGTTCTTCATCCAGAATGCTGTCTCCACCATGTTTGATTTGCCACCGAGTGTCTTCTCATGATTTATGCTAATTTGCTTGTGATACACACCAGAGACTTGAATCCTGAAAAATCTTATCATTGTGGCTCACACCAGCCACAAAGGTCTGGGGCTAAAATGTACAGGATTCTTACAGTTGCTCTTTCCCTTGGGATAGAAACAAATTTTCAGCTAGTCTTTGCTTATCAGGTAGCATTTCAAGAAATACACAATAACAAAACACCATGTTTGGGCGCTAGGCAGTTTGTTTCCCATGAGGTAAAATATTCCTCCTTTCTCTTTCCTGTCAGGGCCAAGAACTCTTTTCCAAACCTTTCCGTGTCCATTCTCAGCTTTCAGTCTTATCCTTAAATGGGCAAAGCCACTTTCAGTGAATCACCTACGTATTGGTGATGGATTCACAGATAATTAACATGGGGTTCGTGTTCTGTTTCTGAGTACTCAGAGTTATTTTAAGGTTAATCTGCCCTTTGACTCTGGGAAGGGTTTTGTTTTTGTTGTTGCTTTGTTTTTAAACTAATATTAGATTTTATTTTCTCTTCCCAAAGTGAAGAACTGGACAATCTCATTAGAATGAACAAAAACTTGAACAGGTGAGGTTAAAAAAGGTCCGTTTTTCATGTTATTGTTGTATTGAACATTGTGATTTCTTTTATCATCTTTCCAGAATTACAAACAATGCTCTGTTTCAGAGTAGGATTAACTTATCTGACTAGTCAGTAATATCTCACAAATCTTGGATTAAGATCTTGGATAAATAGTTATTAAAGCACTAATATTTACGTATCTTTGATTTTCATGTTCCATGAAATTTAAAATAGCTGTATGTTTATACATATACCAAAGTTTCTGGTATTTTTAACACATTTATGTGCATACAGTTTCACTTGATTGCTGAATGTTTGGAGTTGAACCACTAATATCTCTGTTCCTAATATCTCTAAGTTTTAAATCACTTGCAATCGAAAATAAAATATTCTAGGAGAGATAAATTAAGGATGGAGGCAGAGAGGATCAGCAGATAACAAAGGGAAGAAAGCAATAAAGAAATGTCCACTGATTTCATTGACCTGATGCTATGAAATACGGTTTTCACATGCTATTTTGAAAACAGTGATCTGTGGGATGAATGCCAACAAGTCACCTAGATTTGCTGCTCTTTGGTTTCCTCATCTTCCCAGACAGGAGGTGTTAGATCAGGAGCTGTAGATGCAGGTGTGAATGAGCGGATGTGACTGACCTCATGAGGCACAGGCAGTGGAGGAACCAGGGCAAGAAGAAGAGAAAATGTCTTGTCACAGCATCTTGGCACCAATTGAGGAAGCCACATGGAATCTGGCAGTCAGTCTTGCTGGGCATTTTCAGGATACCCTGAAATGTCTTACATGATAGATAGCTCTATAGATACTGGTTTATGTTAAAATAAAATATATACATCAACAATTAAGGAAAAGATGCCAGAGGCCAGGAATCTGAGAGAGCAGTGTACATAGGAGGGGTGGCAGAGAGGAAAGGGAGAATAATGTAATCATATTTCTTTCAAAAGAAAGAAAGGAAGGAAGGAAGGAAGAAAAAGAAAGAAAAAGAGAGAAAGAAAACAGGGGCTGGAGAACGGCTCAGAGGTTAAGAGTACTCTATGTTCTTTCAAAGGACCTGGTTTGTTTTCCAGCACCCACATAGTGGCTCACAGCTCTCCGCTCTAGTTCCAGGGGGATCTGATACCCTCTTCTGACCTCTGCAGGAACCAAGGATTGCACACCGTGGACAGACAGACTGGCAAAACTTTCATACACATGCTTTTTTGTTGTTTAGAAAAGAATGAAAGATAAACTAAAAAGGAAACACTTCATGGACCCAAACAGCATTTCTACAGACCTATCATGGTCTACATATCCCTAGTTTATCTCTTTGGGTCCATGTCCTTAGAAGCTTATTGTAATTTAAATTGGGAGTTTGGGGAAACACCTGTGTGGAATAAAGCAATTTCCAGGATCATAGCTCATCTTTCCCAGCCAGCTTCTATTTTACATGTCAACTGGTATAAGCTTTTTAGAGTTAAACATCTGTCATTATTACTGATGAAATTTTTAATCAATATATTTAAAGAAATCAAGGTCTTGACGGCCTCTTCAGAGCAAACCTGAAGGCACAGCAGATAGACAAAAGGTAAGTGTGTCTGTTCACTCCAGAAGTCCTGTGTCTCAGCCTGTTTGCCTTCCTCCTTCAGATAGTGGAGGTGGTGGGAAGGGAGCTGCATCCTCTGGCAGACAAACACACCAGCAGATGGGCTAGCTCTCCCAGCATTGTACATTTAGTTCAGACATAATTGCCCGGAAGGATCTCTGCTCTTCCATTCAATGAGAGTAAATGAGCAATTCATAGAAAATGTTTATTATATCTGACCTTTCAAGATACCACACAATTTCAGTTCAACATGCAGTTTTTATTGCAATTCTTTTTGTTTCCAGAGCCCAGAGTCTTGAAAGTCTCATCTATATGAACACCCAGATGGACGGAGATGCCAAAGGGTAAGAGTCTGTCAAGGCAGGCCACTTTGGGTGACCCTCTGATTGCCTTGTGTTCTCCTGCCAGGGTCAGGGGGTCTGGCGGCACAGACTCTGGGTAAGGTCAGAGAAGGCTGGGTGCCACAGTAGAGGCTCTGCCACCATTGTGAATCTCGGTGACCTGGTCAGGTGCCGTAATTTCCTCATCTCGTAAGGAGAAGAGTGTGGCTTAGGTGATCTCTACACAACCTTTCATATTAAAAATAAAAGAAACCCAACTGGTTACTATAGGCATCTTATGGACTGAGTATATTGACCACAAGGCACTTTGGTTCTGGGAATGGAGCTACTCAAAACTGAAGTTCTTAAAATGTAGAAGGCACTTCTTAGATGGGATCTTGGTCACACTTCTCATGTTTAATTTTTTCATAAGTATTTGTAAATATCTTGATGTTGAAAGACACTGAAAAATTTTGAAGCAGGTTAATTGGTGATTAAAAACTGAACTACTAGTCTTTGAAAGATGCATTTGCAATTTTAAACTGACAGTGACAAACTAGAAATTTGGCTTTTCATTACTGATATCATTTTTCACATCGAAAGAAATACAATTTCTGACAGTCCAATTAAGTAACATTTTCTGAGCTGTCAGGAGTGGCAAAGGTTAAGGATTTCTGAGATTTCTCACACTTCTCGCCAGACTGGCCACTTACTTTGCGTTTGGTTAGACTTTAAACGTGCTTTTATAAGATGACAGTTATTTCTGTTGTCACATTTATTGTTCCAAACTATTTATCTGTGCCAGTGTGTGCAAGGAGTGATACACTAGTCTTCTAAGTCAGTCCTGCCAGACGCCCTATCAGCTTTCTCATCCGGAACACACAGCAAAGTCTCTGTGATGGGCAGCACTTTTAGTAATAGTCACAGTGGCGTGCTGGTGCATTAAAGGTGACTTAATGTGCCAATAATTTTGTCACAATGAAATCAATCAGAGATGAAAATGTTAAATGTCAATGTGCAGCACTTGGTTGTGAGTATCAGGGGATTGTTTAGCTTTCAGTTCTTAATTGTTCTAAGAGAAGGTCTTGTCGTGTATCCTCAGTCAGCCTCAAACACAGAATCCTGCCTCAGCATTTCAGGCGCTGGGATTATAGTAATGGACAGACAGTAGCCTCTTATAATGATTAGATTTTTGTGTACGAAAGTTTCATTCTATGTGATAATTTTGCATAAGGTACTAAAGTCGTGATGTTGACCCTTTCAGGACATCCTGGAAACTTTTATGGGGAATAACTTCTCCAAGTCCTCAAAATATTTCCATTTAAAGTGTTGATCAATTATTGATTTTTTTACCTAGCATGAAAGAATTTTTGTGCTTAAATAGATTAAAATATCAAAGCATATATAAAATTTAGCCTCCCTCTAATCTATCTTCCCCAAAGGAAAGGCTGAGGTTGGGGGGAAAGGTTTGCTTTCAAACTGATTAAGTTGTACTGAGTAATGATATGGTGTATGATAATGAGTATGAGTTGATATCTCGATATTGAGGTGTCTCTCGGACATTTTATGCTGCTTGAATTAGGCATTTCTAAGACTCTCCAGTGCGTTAGGCCTTGTTGCATCTCATTCCTGCTGTGAGTAATCTTCAGCTGTCCTAAAAGATGCTGAGCATGCAATTGAGTTTCTCACACACTTTCTTTCCCCAACTCCAATGTTCTAAAGCAATCCAGCCTTTGGAAGTCTTAAGAAAATCCATCAAAGGACGGACAAAGAGAAAGGGTAGGTAAAACACATTCATTGGCATGTGTCTTTCCTTCGGTTAGCCTTTTAAACCTTGTCAGCCTGGACGTGTTACACTATACTGTCTGCTACAGATGAACTCTTTAGATTTGTCAGAAATAGTGGGTTAAAGGAATGCAATCCCTGCCATCTCTAAAAGGTGGCCTTTGAAATAATAAGAGTGGCGGGGGGCTGCGTCCCTGGCACCCCAGCCGCCTGCTCGGCTAGCTTATGCCCGAAATAATTACACGGAAACTGTATTCATTTAATCACTGCTTGGCCCATTCTCTTCTAGGCTAATTCTCACATATTAATTTAGCCCATTTCTAATCATCTGTGTGTAGCACCCCAAGGTGCGCTTACCAGGGAGATTCTAGCCTAGTCCATCCTGGGTCGGAGCTTCATCCCGGGAGCGGGGCATGGCGTCTCTCTCTGAGGCGTCTGCTCCCGAGAGAGCTGTGGAGTCTCTGACCTCACTTCCTCTTCCTCCCAGCGTTCTGTTCTGTTTACTCCTCCCACCTATCCTCTAACCAATAAAATGGGCCAGGGCAGTTCCTTTATTAGCCAATGACCTTCCTCCATCATTTCCCCTTTTTCGGTTTAAACAAAAAAAAGGCTTTAACTTTAACATAGCAAAATTACATATAACAAAACAGTTATCAAGTAAAAGTTACAATAATCTTTATCATAACTAAGGAAAACTATAACTATAACTAACTATTCTTAACTCCATCAAAGACTCCAGAAAGATAAAATATTACCTAAGTAAACAAGAACTAAGAAACTTCAAACTCTAGAAATGACAGAGACATCTCGCTGCCTGGACAGTCACCCAAAGTTCCTCTGTACCGTTGGGGCATCCATCTTCAGCCTTCAGGCCCATGGTATCCAGAAGACATTTCCATAAAGCAGGAAAATTCAAAGTCAGTTCAGTCACTATCTGTTGTGTCCTACAGGATGTCTCACAGACTCTTTCATGAATCAGGAACCCCGAAAGATCATCTCACCTTAGGCAAGTTTAGTAGTCCTCTCTCTGCGGGTTCTCTGTGTCCAGTTTATGCAGTAGTCCAGGCAAGAGCAGTTTCTTGCCCAAATGGCTATCAAACTCCATCAGGTGCCTCTTTGATGCCCATCTTCCTCTTGAAGTAGATTGGTGCTGCCAGGAGCAGAGTGTCTCATTGTCATGAAAAGTCCTCAGTTATTAAAACATTAAATGTCCTATTCTGTAATCTTTGAAAGACATGAAGAATATCTATCTAAAATATATCTCTATATATCTAGAAAATCTAACTAACATGACTACAAGCTTTACTATTATCGATGATTATCCATTAACAACCTATATTTCTTAATTATATAGTACATATTTAAATGAACTACACAATCACAATACCTTAATCAAAATCAGAAACACTTATACATATAACAAAATTGACCTTAAATCTCTATCAATAAAGCAAAATCTATACTAATGCAAATTATTCATATCTATATCATATTCCCCTTTAAATGTAAAAGAACATTTATAAACATTTTTTGGGAACATGGGCGCAGTTATTTCTCTCCAAACTGCTTCCTGCTGAATGGGGGCGTCGTTAATTAGGTCTTTCATGGTATAACCTGTGTGCTAGTTTCTTCTCAGTTGGCAGTTGACCGAAGCAATTTTCTGGAGATGTTCACAACAACCCTTCAGGAGGGCGTGGTCCATCATACCAAATCGGAATAGAAGAAATGAACAGGGTCTCATCCTCTGTGAAAACAAAATAAGAAACTCCTTTCCAAAGCATCATGTCCTTAGATCCAAATTTCAAATTCAAGGCATTTTCAAAATATCTATGTTGGATTAGTTCAGCAGCATTTATAAATAAATATCTTTTAGCATCTGTTGCTCCTTCCTCAGCATTTAAATAATTTAAAGAGAGCATAATAGCATACAGTATCAAGATTCTCTGTGTATTTTCCATCTTTGTGCAGCTTTGTTTTAACCTCTATTTTGTTTATTTTTACTTTTAACTCTTTGCTTTTTGAGACAGGTTCTCTGTATCTTTGACCTGAAGTAACTCTGTAGACCAGGCTGTCTTTGAACTCTCAGAGATCCGCCTGTCTCTGCCTCCCAGGCATTCAGGATTAAAGGTGTTTGCTACTACACCTTGAACTCACAGAGATCTGTTAGTCTCTGCCTTCTAGGCACTGGGATTAAAGGCATGTGCTACCACACACAACAACTCTCTTCCTTTTTTTTGTTTTTTACTTTAAGAACTTCAACTTTTAGTCTGCATATATTTTTAACACACTTTAAACCATTCAGAAATTTTCTCTGTCTTTGAATCTCTCTTTACTGTATATCTCTCTTTTTCTGACCACACAAGTCTTTAATTTACCAAGCAATCTCAGTAGGATTAAAGGCGTGGCTTTGCCAGCTGGATCCAGCCCATTCCTTAGGTTTCCAGCCTCATGACTGAGGTACTGGCTGTAGCCAGCAAGCGAGCTTCAGCAGCCTTTGCTTGCAAACCGCACAAACCGCCTGCGTAAAAGAGTCAGAGTTTGTCCTGGCAGGACAGCCCAGAAAGGCAGCATTTTTAAACTGCGCAGCTTTTTTCCTGCTACAACTGAAAACCGAAAAGCATGCGTTCAGCTTTTCGTCAACACCGTTTAAGTGTTTCGTGGCAGGACCTCTTAATGAGCTGCAGGCTTTATAGCTAAAGCTGAGTCAGGAAGCCTCTCTTAGATGAGGCGCTTGTTTGCCTCTGGCAAGCGAGCAGACCCAAGAACACAGCGAGTCTAGTTGCCATCAAACTAATTGTAGCACTTTATTCCAAATGCTCTATTCAAAAGCTCTGTCTCCCGCAGGAGCCAGACAGAGATTGCAATGGCAGCACAGTCCCAGGAAGCTGCGCTTTAAAATGACACAGTGTTTTTTCTGCTACTGTTGCCGAATCAGGAAATCTCTCTACAGCACGCCACCAACAAACAGCAAAAATCTGTGTTAAACTCTTTCTCCCTTATTTTTAAGTCTTCTCAGTTTTTTTAAGTGGGTTTAGTCCATCACGTTGGGGCGCCATATGAAGTAATAAGAGTGGCGGGGGGGGCTGCGTCCCTGGCACCCCAGCCGCCTGCTCGGCTAGCTTATGCCCGAAATAATTACACGGAAACTGTATTCATTTAATCACTGCTTGGCCCATTCTCTTCTAGGCTAATTCTCACATATTAATTTAGCCCATTTCTAATCATCTGTGTGTAGCACCCCAAGGTGCGCTTACCAGGGAGATTCTAGCCTAGTCCATCCTGGGTCGGAGCTTCATCCCGGGAGCGGGGCATGGCGTCTCTCTCTGAGGCGTCTGCTCCCGAGAGAGCTGTGGAGTCTCTGACCTCACTTCCTCTTCCTCCCAGCGTTCTGTTCTGTTTACTCCTCCCACCTATCCTCTAACCAATAAAATGGGCCAGGGCAGTTCCTTTATTAGCCAATGACCTTCCTCCATCAGGCCTTGCAAGTTCTCTACCAAATCTCTCATTCTGTATTTTCTTAAAAATAAAAACACTTGTCAATTTTTAATGTGAATCAAGAAATGTAAAGGAAAAGGTGCAAAATGAGAACCATGAAGAAGACTGGTTTAAATCAAGTGCCACTGTGAAAATCAATTAAGATAGGAAGCTAAAAAATGGGGTAGGGAGATAGATGGCTCAGTCAGTAAAACACCTGCCGTGCAAACACATGGACATTAGCTCAGTTCCCCAGCACTGGTAAATGGGGAGCATCAGTAACCCTAGGACTTAAGGAGTAGGAAACAGGGGGATGCCTGGACCTTGCTGAGTAACCAGCGTAACTGAGTCTGTGAGCTCCAGCTTCAATGAGAGATGTAAGAGAGACAGTAATAGAGTAGGAAACTTAATGCTGACCTCTGGGACTCACAGCACATAACCATACTATGTACACATATGTCCACATGCATACATGGCATGCACATGCACACACCACATGTGTGAACCCTCAAAGGTAAGCCAAGGGTAATTAAAGCAAAGGCCTTTCTGGTCAGTTGTTTCTAGAAACATCAGACACCACATTCAGGCACATTCTCATTTACACAGTTAGGGTTATTATTGATGAGATGAAACAGCAAGGCCCTAGTAGTTTGGGGAGGAAAGGATTCATTTAGTTTACATTTCCACAGGACCATTCATCAGCAAAGGAAGGCAAAGCAGGAACTCAAGCAGGGCAGGAACCTTGAAGCAGGAACTGATGCAGAGTCCATGGAGGGGTGCTGCTTGCCTGCTTGCTCCCCATGACTTGCTCAGCCTGCTTTCTTGCAGAAAGTAGGACCTCCAACCCAGGGATGGCACCACCCACCATGGATAGGACCCTCCCCCATCAATCACTAAGAAAATTCTCTATAGGCTTGTATATAATCCCATCTTGTGGAGGCATTTTTCCCATTGAGGTTCCCTCCTCTCAGGTGACTTTAGATTGTGTCAAGTTGACATAAAACTAACCAGCACAATGGTTTTCAGAGAATCTTGCAAATATTGCGGACAATTTGATGTAAGTTTTCTTAATTGAAAATTCATATAATATATTCTTTCTGATCACAGTTTCCTCTCCCCCATTTGCCCCCAGATTCTCTCCACCTCCTTATTAAATTTAACAGCTTTTTCCTTCCTTCCTTCCTTCCTTCCTTCCTTCCTTCCTTCCTTCCTAATTCTTTAGAAAAACAAAACAAAACATGCAAATAAAAAACAATGAACCAGAAAAAAAACCCAACAATGAAAAGCACAGGAAACCACAAACACACACACACACACACACACACACACACACATATAAAAACACGAAATCAAAAATCATAACATACAAAAGACTAGTAAAAATCAAAACTTTTAGAAAGCCTTAAAAGTTCTTGCCTTTAAAACTCCCTTTCAGGGTTCAATTAAGGACATGACGAATAGCTAAAGGGGAGCTAGAAATCCGAGGGCAAAGACCCTAGGGGTAAGAAATCTACTCACAACAGGAATCGTCTGTGTATGTTTCTCTATTCTTCTCTCTCCAGTCTTTCATTTCTCATTTTTCTTTCTTGTTCTCCCTTGTCCTACACTGGTCTTATTTCTACATGGTTCTTCCTTGTCCTCCCCATTACAAATGTTTTCAGTCTCGTATACCCTTAAAACCAGCAATTCCCCAGCCCTAGCAGGTTCCAGAACCAGAATTCTTTTGCCCCATAGAAAATCAGATAAGAGTTTTCGCATACACACACAGATCCATAGGAGTGGCCAGTACCTGTCCAGTGAAAGGAAGTAAATCCTCAGGGGATTCTTTGAGGGAAGGTTAGTGTGCTACATTATTAGGTGATTAGTAAAGGGCTAAGAGGTTTATTTTCAGTAAAATTATGAATAAATCTAATTTTAAATTAAATCGAAATCAGCGTGCCACTACTTTGTTCCTAGCAAGCATAGAGGTTTCCAGGTAACCAGGCAGCCTATGTCAACAGTCACGGAGAAGAGGAAGGCTCTTGATCAGATAGCACTTACACCAGAAGCTGCAGTTCCTATGGGCCTGGGTCTGGAATTTTGCTCTAAGTGAAAAAGAAACCCAGGCCTCTAAATTGTCAGCTCCAGGCTATGCTGTTATCAACTGTTCTGACCGTGGGTGGTGTGGGGTTAAACCAGAGCAGCAGCTCTGGGCAGGTAGAGATTCTGCGTCCTTGGAGATCTGTGAATATTTCAGATATGTTCTACGCCTGGACCCTAAGTACTGACCAATACCTTCTGATAAAGATAATGGCAGGAAGGCAGATCTCTGAGCTTGCCTAGGAGAGAGAAACATGGCCTGGTAGTGGGAAACTGTTTTCAAATATGTAACAGAAAGAGAGGTAGCTGCGGTGAAAAATCTACAGGGAAGGACAGCCACTTGGTCACAAAGAGAGCCTTGCACTTTGGTTCAGCCTTTACCGGATACCTTTTGGCTGTACGATATTGAGGCTTGTAGCAAAAAAAAAAAAAAAAGTCAAATATAAAACAAGCAAATTCGAAAACACCATTGAGTTCATTTTGCATTGGCCATCTACTGCTAGGCAAGGAGCCTTCTTAAGTGAGGTTTACATACTCGATTGGAGAGAACCTTTCTTATGTTGTCAGCTAGGGAAAGTTTCTTGGATAGAGATGGGAGAAAGTTGACCACTTCCGGGCTCCATCTGGCTTGACCCTGTGCACTCGGCCATAGTCTGCGTGAGGCCGTATGTGTGTCAGTGCTCCTGTGTGAAAGACAGTTTCCTTGTTGTTGACATAAGTTCTGATGACTTTTTCTCCCCCATAAAGCCAAGGCCTCAGACCAGTTCCCAAAATGAGTGTCACAGCAGACAAAAGCAGCAGAAGGTGAGAACTGCCTGGTTGTCTCTGAGTCTCAGGCTCCCCTTGGCTTACCTGGCGACCTTCTCAGCGGTGTGCAGGGAATCACAGCTTTGAATATGTCTCATGTCTTTTATGTCCTCCTTCTGCAGCCCTGTTATTCACTTTGAAGAGTGCATTGTTATTGCATCAAAATTTACATTTATATATAGCATGATGAAATCTTGGAGATTTATTTAACTGTGTTACTTGATAAATTTTATACTAAAACATATTTGATATTAGGATAATGATTTTCTGCAAAAGCTTGAATTAATCACTAAAGATATAGAAAGGGTGATTTATATCTAATTCTATGGAAATGCCATGAAACTAATCCAAACATTCTTTTCATAAGAGATAGAGAGCTTGATAATGTTATGAAGACCAAGTCCAGAGGACATGAGAACACCTCTGGGTAAGTCTCACTAATGTCTCCAATTCTGATTTCTACCTGATAATCCAAATGCAAATGATTTGACATTTTAGCTTCATGACGATAATTTAAAGTATGGAATTAGTCAAGAAGGATGGGAGAGGTGGTCATTCATCCTTGTATTCCACGAATACATTTATTTTAAAATAATTGTCTCAATATTTAATACTGAATTACTTTTCTTTTTGATTTGGGGCATTGATTTCTTTTTAAGGGTTGATGAGAGAGTAGAATTCTTTATCTAAAGAATGCAGCCTTCACATAGTTTCCAGTGTACATTTCCAGAATGACACAGACAACCGTTTGTTCATTCCTGGCTGCTCAACCCCAAAATAACCACACAGAAACTGTAGTAATTAAATCAAACTGCGTGGCCCGTTAGCCCTAGCTTCTTATTGGCTTGCTCTTACATCTTAATTTAACCCATTTCTATTAATCTGTTTATTGCCATGTGGCTGTGGTTTTCTGGCGAGGTTCTGTCCTGGCAGGGCTATGTGGCTTCTCCTGACTCTGCCTTCTTTCTCCCAGCATTCAGTTTAGTTACCCCCACCTCTCCTTAGGCTAGCTCTACTCTACCCTATCACGGGCCAAGGAAGCTTCCTTATTTATTAACTAATAAAAGCAACACATACACAGAAGGACCCCCCATACCACAAGCCAGCCTGATTAAGACTCCTACAGTCACCTCTTCTGGTGGTTTCAGCTGCAGCCCAGGGTGAGGCTGGGCCGGTACCTAAATGGGAGGAAGGACTCACTGCTGCATCACCTGCCCAGAGCTATGATGCCTTTGGTACCCACTCCCCATTTCTACCATCCCCCACTGTCCACTTGGAGCATAGTTTATGCTCCTCTTGATTTTTGATGGGCCAGCATGTAGATCCAGTAAGAAGTGGGTCATTATGTTTGCTACTATGTAATGACATTTTATATTTCTAAATCTTGCTCTCTGTTTCTTAAAATAACTTACTTTGAGACAAAAGGTTTCAACATGGGTACTATATGGGTTTATATGAGGGCATGCTTTCTTAATATTTTCAATTTTGTTAAATCATTATGTTGCTATCATTATTTTATTATTATTAAAGAAACAAACCAAAAAAAGACTGTATCAGTTAGTAATTTGTCTTCAGTCTGGTTCCAGTGACTAACTTCATCTAACTTACCTTGTTTCACCGTGGCTTGTTAGACATGATCTAACTAGACGGATCTTCAGACAAGGCTGACTTTGTTCAGACCGAAGTGGCGTGTGACCCCGTGTTCTGAGAGCAGAACAGAACAGACAGCACCTGTGTATGCATGTTGTTAGCAAATGCACACCCTGCCTTCATCGTGGGGTGTGAGACAACTGCCATTTTCATTTAGAACTTTAAATGTCCACACTGGTGCAGAGAACTTTACATTTATCGCTTCTTAATATCTGAGCTATTATTCATTTGATTACTGTTTTATTTTAATGGCATTCATTAGAACTCATTTCCTTTTCCAAAGGAAACAAGACCTTGATGGATTGATTAAGGTGAATCCTGAGACACAGACAACTATGAAGAGGTAATGTGTCTAAAGTGTCCCTCGGCCAGGCATCATATGCATTGGAACGCCAGTGTTCACGGTTGGGACAGCGAATGGCACTTCAGGCCCAAACACCCTTTTTATTTTCTCCAACACGGCAGCTTGGAAGGAGTAATGCACAGGCTCGTTTGCATGACCTTGGTCGCTTGTGCTTTGGTGGCATTTGTTACCTGGTGGTTTTGAGAAATTACAAGACAGTTTTGAATAAGCGTCTTAGCTATGACATCCCACTTTGCATTCGTGTGCATGTGTATGTATATATAGTGTGTGAAGTGTATGTGTGAGAATTATATCTATAAAAGGGTGGAAGTGAGTCTATGAGTAGAGGTATACATAAGAGCATGTGTGTATGTAAGAGTAGAGTATATATACATGTATGTATATGTGTATGCGTGTATACAGGACGGTGTGCATGTGTGTATGTACATGTGAAACTAAACTTGTTGCCATGTAGCTGAAAATGGTCAATCAAATAATTCCATGAACTCTTTTCCACTTAGTAAACTCAGTATATGATAGTATTTGTTCATCCTGAAATGTGTCACCAGTGCCCCAGAGGCAAAGGCTCATCTAGCTGAAAGCTTTTGCACACAGTGCCAAGCTGCCCAGCTTTTGCCTGTGTGGTACAATCAGAGGCACAACCACCCAGTGAATTTGGCAAAACAACTAAGTCTTGCATCCTCACTGAGAAACAAAACAAAACAAAATGTTGGTGTCTTTGACTCCTTTAAGGGGTTCAGAAAGATAACTGAGATGTTGATACAAACAGGGAATCTGAAAGCCCTGGTTCAAGGTCAGCTTCTGACTGTGTCACTGGCCCTGTTTACTCAATGCCTTAAGTTACTTTTACACTGCTGCGATAAAGACCTCTGTCCAAAAGCAGCTTGGGGAGGAAGTGGTTTATTTTACCTCTCAGTTTATATCAGAGCCAATCTCTAGGGGAAGTCAGGGCAGGAGCAAAGAGGGCAGGAACCCTGAAGCAGACACTGGGGCAGAGGTCACAAGGAAATGATGCTTACTGGCTTGCTCCTCACGGCGTGCTCACTATGGTTATTTATACCATCCTGGACAACCCTACCCAGGGGTGGCATCACTCGCCTGTGTGGTAGGGGCACCCACATCAAATAGCAATCAAGATAATGCACTAAAGTTTTAATCAAAGGCAAATCTGGTAGGGGCATTTTCTTGGTTGAGGTTCCCTCTTCCAAAATGACTCTAGCATGCGACAAGTTGCCATAAAACTAGCCGTCATACTCACCTACTAAAGAGGAATTACACTACTCTCGTGTTCAACACATGCTAGATATAAAAAATGAATCAGAAGTTAGTGATAGAAAAACATTCAGATTAATTATATTTTTATAATGGTCTAGACAGTCTACATACATTTAGTTCATCTTGACATCTAAAATTATTTTCCTACTTAATATTTATTTAAAAACTTTAAACTGAGGCTTATCATTCTTTATATTAAAATGGGTATGTGCTAATGTGCATATCTTTCAAATGCTTGCTTGCATGTGTGTTTTCCTATATAAGCTCATGTGTATGCTTACAAGTGAAGATGTGTGCCTGTGTATGTGTGCATGTGGACATGTACGTGAATGTGTGCATGTATGTATTTTGTACAAGTGGGTTATTGTACATATAAAAATAGTGATTGTGTGTTCCTTTGTGTATGTATATGTGAGTACATGTATAATCTATGTCCATGTGTGAGAGCACATGTGAAATGTGTGTATTTGTATGTGTATGCTTTCTATGGACTTCTAAAGACAGTACTTTTAGTTGACTTTTTACATCCTGAGACTCTAGATATTTTAAGTATATAGTTAGGGACTCTGTCAGTAACTAAGCATGAGAACCTAAATTCAATTCTCAGCATCCTTGAAAAAGTCAGACATTGCAGCATGGTCCTGCAAGTTCAGCCCTAGGAAGGTAGAGACAAGAGGATCCCTGGGCATAGTCTGGCTAGTCTTACCAAATTAGTGAGCTCTTTATTAAGTAAGGAGCTCTTTTCTTTAAAAAAAAATGAAGAGTGATATAGGAAAATACAAGAGATCAACCTCTGGCAGGCATGTGTGCATGCATGCACATGTACACACACACACACACACACACAGAGACAGAGAGAGAGAGACACACACACAAAGAGACACACACACAGAGACACACACAGAGAGAGACACACACACACACACAGACACACACACACACACACAGAGAGAGAGAGAGAGAGAGAGAGAGAGAGAGAGAGAGAGAGAGAGAGCATGCTTCCTTCTTTATTTGAAAGCTTTCACTGTTTTTCCATCTCTGGTGAAATAAAATTCTAACGCTTAGAGATAACCTTTTAGTTTTTCAATAAAGTCCTATCAACTCAACCAATCAGCCTTTTGTATTTCAGGCTCATTCTTGTTTTAAGGCATTTATACATGCTGTGCCCATTTTCTGGAGTGCTGCCACCATATGGCCTTCCTTTTAAATAGGTCACTTTTGGTGGCTGAATGTGATTAAATCATACCCTTACTTGTCCTCAGCATTGCAAACACCAAATACACTTTTAAAGTACAGCATATACAGTTATCTGAAAGTTGTGCCATCCACTTAGGTGTTTGTCTGTGTTCTGCTTGTCCCCAGTCTGGCGGTCTGTTTGGACCACATCTACCCCACCACTCGGCAGAGGCTAGATCATTGGTCTTTGCTATTGGTGGACTGCAAGAACATATAAATACTGATGATACATACACCATGAGGCAATGATTCGCCCAGTTTAACTTCAAATAGTATATCATTATAATAATTAGATTACCACATTAATTAGTTTTTTCTTATTGACTTATGCAATAGGATTTTAAATAGCCCTATACAGTTTTTAGGGCTCATTTAATGTCTAAAGAGACTGAAGTCTACACAATATAATGAAGCAAACTCCTCAACTGACACTCTCTAAGGAAGGGCTTGTGGCACTTGCTGATCTATTATTTATTTGAACACTAAAATCTTCCACTTGTAACCTGGAATTTTTTCCCTAGGACCATGTGATTCAAATCCCATAGGCTTGCTTTAGGTGAAAAACATCAAAGGCGAATGTAGAATACAGCAGTTGTTTCTGTGGGGCTAATTGTTTCATTATCGTCATAACGAGAGTACACATATTTTCTCTGTTGTCTTTAGTCTGAGCATCACATCTTGAGACAGCTGGAGCAGAACTTGGGTCCACATCGGGTTGCTTCTAAACACTGTATCTTTGATGTTGTGTAAATGAAACCTCAGAGACATCTCTGTGAGGTCATCAAGTGTGGGGAGAGTGGCGAGGCTTGCTTCCGAGGAGGCTCTTCTCCCCATGTGGCTCCCTCTGTAGATCAGAGGCATGTTTGCTGGCGAGATGTATGTTAAAGCACATGCATATGCAATAGGAGAGGCATCGTTACAGGAAGATCAGAAGCAGGCGTGTAGTTAAGGCCAACAGTCAAGCACTCAAGTGTTTCCAGCAACTGTGGAGTTCATAGTTCAGCCAATATGGCTTGCATCTTGGTCCATTTCAGAAGTCAATAGACTTTAGTTTTTTTTCTAACATTTGTTTCTTTCTTTCTTTTTTTTTTTTTTTTTTTTTTTTTTTTTAATTTTTCGAGACAGGGTTTCTCTGTGGTTTTGGAGCCTGTCCTGGAACTAGTTCTTGTAGACCAGGCTGGTCTCTCGAACTCACAAGATCCGCCTGCCTCTGCCTCCCGAGTGCTGGGATTAAAGGCGTGCGCCACCACCGCCCGGCCTACCATTTGTTTCTAAAACAATCAGCTGCAATGTGTCATTACCAGAAATAGATAGCAGGTTGTATATGGTGCATTTTAAACAAATTAGTATATTTATCTTAATGCAGTTTAGTAATAGAAAACTTGCTAAAAATATCCACAAAATGTAGATTTTAAAAGTTTCTTTTACACATGTTGGAGGTTGCTACCAAGAGAGAATGTTTTCTGGAATGTTCTATGGGGCAAATGTATGGTCTAATTAAAAAATGTTTTATATACTTGGAAGTGGTTGACAATATCTGCAAGATTAAAATATTGCCTCACTCTCTGGCATGGTCTCAATGTGTGTTTATACTGTTTCTGAGACTTAATTAATAGTTTCATTCTACTAGTTATTAACCTCTCCATTTCTTCAATGTTTTAAAGGGGCCAGAGCCTTGACAACCTGATCAAAGTCACCCCAGAAGTAAACAAGAGTAACCATGGGTGAGAGAATTATGTCTTAGCTCTCTTCTTTGCTGTATCAGTAGTAACACTTATGAATAGAAAAGCTGGAGTATGTGGAACCAGAAAGTCAAAATCTCATTGCTTAATAGATGGGGTTCTGAGCAAGTCCCATGGATGCTGAGCAGCAGCTGGCCAGCCACAGCATGAGGGTCACGGGATTATTCTATCATTGGCAGCAGGGAGCAAGAAGGATCAAGCGGAATAATGGTTATAAGATCCCTTTAAAACAAAAGTGCTGTAGATGGAGATTATTATCAAAACACCATTTAGTTGTGGCTACAGGCTTAGCATGGCTGCTTCTCAAGGCAGGATAAGTTTTTGGGTAAACCATTGCTTTGTTCCAAAATGAGCTAATGAAAAACAATCTCCTTCGTGTCCTAATGTTAGGGTTTGTTTTGAGAATAAGTGGAAAAGGAAGCCATCATAGCACTGATTTGTTCTAAGGCTGAAACTTTACTCCTGTAAGCTGAAGATTTAGACCAGTATTGATTTCTATCAAAACTTAATAGTAAAATTTATTTTGAGGACATATAGGTTCATAAGATTCAAGGTGAAATGACCAGTTGATTTAATTCCATTTTTATTGAGTGGATTTTTTTTTTGTCTGTTTAAAGTTCCAAAGACGTTAATCAGTTTTCAAGGGTAAGATTTAATATGCTCCTCCTTCTGGGTTCATGCCCATCAGTAATTATGAGGGTAATGAAGTCATCAGTTAAGTTGACTGATCCCGACTGAAGTGACAACCCTGTCCCCTCATGTCTGAGACATTAGAGGTTTTGCTCAGGTGATTTCCAGGGATGGTACCTGTGATTATTTGTTCAAGTTGTTTTTCAATAATTACCGAAAACCTTGTTATTGGTTCGCTCCTTTTAGCAGAAGGACAGTGTGGAAGAGGGAAGAGCCTGGTAGGCTAGAACCCACAGTGAGGCTAGGTGTTATTTTGGACTCGTCAGGACTGGTCAGTTTATTTGGACTTTGGCTTTGTCATTAAATAAGGAACCAGAGCTGTCTGTTCACTGGATACTTCCAGAACCAGTTCCATTACTAAATTTCAACAAAATGGTTGGTGTCAAGGTTTTAGTAAATCTTTTATAATAAAATATCAATTTTAACAAATAATTCCAACCATTTTATGTAACTTAATTAATAAGGTTCTTTCTTCTTTATTTTTAAGGAATCAAAATCTTGACAGTTTCATCAAAGCTGCGCCCACAACCAGCAGAGCTGACCAAGGGTAAGAAACTTTTCTCTCTCCTTTGCTCCATTTCACTCTCGAAAGTCCGAGAAACACTTTCTACGGTCCTAGAGACATCCCTCAGAGGGGATGCAAAGACAGAAACAGTTATGTCACCAACCCGCAGGCTGGTCCTGAGCCTGGAACTACACAGGCTTCCCTGGCTGTGGACTGAGGTGGGAATCAGGAATTTCTTGAAATACAGAGGTGAACTCATTCCAATGTAGCGTTTGTATTCCATGCTTGGTGCTTAAAGTGAATCTGAATTCCCGTGGTATAAGGCTGCATCCTAAAAGGATTTCTTAACACAAAGCAGCTGAAATAAAGGTTGAAGATGGCAAAAGGTTCTCCCATCTTCCTCCTCTTTTCCATTTATTCCCTTTTTCTTTTCTTGTAAAACCTAACCAGCTCTAAAGTTAGGAAGTCAGTGTGTGTATGTGTGTGGTGTGTGTGTGTGTGTGCACATGCGTGCATGTGTGTGCATTTGTCCTCTCATGTTTGTGGATCTATGTGTGGGTCTGACTCATGGTCCAGCTGGAATTTAGCTTCTCTAGGTAGCCAGCATGCTCTGGCAAATCTGTCAGTCCTCTCGCCATCCGTCTTACCTACCTAGCCTCTCACACGGGTCCTAGGAGTTCAAATTACAGCCTTTATGCTTGTGTACCAAGTGTTACCCATTGTGTTCTAGTAAGTCTTTATTATAAAACCAGTAAGCAGGAGGAATGTATCCTGGGTGGCCTTAGTCAGATGACCCTTGGCCTAGATAGTTTGTATTTGGAAGGGAGAGGTGGTTCAATTCATACTGTAGTTGAAGCAACGTCTTAAAAACAGCCGGCTGCCCTGCCTTGCCTAAGTGCTTCCATCACAGTAAGGCTAAGCTGAAGACGTTGTCATCCTGAGTCTGAATCTTCAGTGCTAAGTTGTCCTGAGATTTTCAAAACCCAAATAAGAATAAAACCTCTTGTCAGGCCCTGAATTTAAAGACCAAATAAACACTTTACAGTCAAAGTGTAAAGTTGAGAGCAGAGCGCCTGGGCTTGAGTTCTGAGAGGCCATTTTAACTGTAGAGGATCCATGGTGATGATGCATAGACTTTGTGTCTGGTTCGTTTCAGTGTGTGATTTTTTAATTTGTAAATTGTACATAATAACGTTTATTTAAGAAGAGGATTCAAGTCCTGATGGAGTTTCAAATACTAAATATGAATTTGATTTGATATTGAGGTTGAGAAGTATAAAATGATTGTTCTTAGTTGACTTTGTCAGATATTACTTCAGGAGCCTGGACTTGTACATTCTGACCAAGGTGACCTCCTAAGCAAACAAACCAACAAACAAAAATTTCCTCAAATTTATGCAGAAGGAGTAGGCTTATCTGGTTAAAGATATTTAAAAGGCGGGAATAAAAAATGAGCACCTGATTTGCTGATTTGTAAAATACTAGACTGGGTTTTCTTTTATTTTTGCTTCCATTTATTTCACTATACTTTTGTTTAAGATGATAATACTGATGCTAATTCTGTGTAATTACTACTTGAGAAATTCCTTGTGACACAGTAATCACATAAGTAGGCTCATACTGCAAATTATTAGTTAATAAGTTATTTGTATAAAATGAATAAACTGAAGAATATCAGTTTTGCATCTCTCATAATCACAAGGATTAATATTTAAATGACGTGTGAGAAAACTGGCACTGTAACAGGTTTATAGTTAATTAGAATATTTTTGCACAACATTGAACTTACTTCTGTTCTTGAGAAATCAAGACCATTTATATATTGGAGCAATAGTTAACCAAAGCATGGCAGAGAAACTCTAAGCTATCACTCATAAAGCGGCTGTGAGGGTAATGTTGGTATGGACCATGCAGATGGAAGGAATAACTGCAAACATGGTGGGGAGGAAGGATGCTCAGGGAAAAAGCCCAGACTTCACCTGCAGCTGTCCTGAGTTCCATCTGAAGGATGCTCAGGGGAAAAGCCCAGTCTTCACCTGTGACTGTCCTGAGTTCCATCTGAAGGATAGCCAGGGGAAGGAGGGAGTATGAATGACACATGTTCAGAGTTCAAATTTGGTTTGCCTTCAGCATTTCTTGGGTATTTGCCCCCAGGAAGTGAGTTAATCCTTGTGAATTTTTTTCTAATCGTTGGTAATAGCCACCCCATGTATTCTCAGAGCTCAAGGGAAAGGTAGGAGAAGTTAGAATTCAGGACCAGCCTGCTGCTCTACAAAGGGTGTAGGGAGACCCTGTCTGGAAACAAAGCAAAATACAAAAGTAATTAGTGACCTGAGATAGACACTTTATAACATGTTTTATTTATTCCATATTCCCATTGCATGTGTATGCGTGTGCACATACAAATTTTTTTATTGACTTTGACTCTTTCTTTTACTTTGTCTTAGCTATCAACACGGTCTTGATGATCGTATTACTACGCGTTCCAAAGCTGTCAAACCTACTGCTGGGTAAGAAAAAAATATTATCATTTATTTCTCTTTCTTTTTAACTCAACACAATATGAATATAAACACCATACCCATTTTATGGAAAAATCGAATGAAATTCCTAAAATATCACTATTTTCATATGTACCTGGAAACTTCGGTGTTAATTTCAGTATTTAGACATAGCAAAGCACAGACAGCAGAGCACTGTACATAGTGGGGCCTTCTCCTAGTCTTAAGCAAAATGAAGATGGGGCCACCCAAGAAGGGGAGGGAGGGACATAGCTGGCACAAGAGCTGGCACGTTCTGTTTGCTTTGCAAAGCATTAATGTTAGGCTTTTGTTTCTGAAGTTAAACAGTATTAACACTAGCTATGGAATAAACAAAGATGCTTCCTCATTTGGTGTATCATGAGTAGTGCATTTACCTCTTTGTAAAGGAGCATTTTGGCGGGGACAGTGGCTTTTTGTTTATTGTAGGGCTTGGGCTTACAAAACAGATATGATTTAAATTTAATAAGCCTTTAAGTAGTTTCTCTAAGACAATTAAATTCGCTTTTTGTCTCTGATTATAAACAGTTCAAATTATCTATATATGTACTTTTTGTAGAGAGTCTTCGGAATGTTTTCACAATTTCCATTTTTAAGTCTGTTGACTCCTATAAAATTCATTAAGCCTTACTGATGGGGAGGGGGAAATGTGGAAAATCTTAGCCCGGTTGATGGGAACGTTTTGAATACCACCGTTCCAGCTGAATCCATTTTGAAAAGAGGGAATAAGAACCCAGAGAGGTTAAGTGATTTGTCCCGGGTCCCGGAGAAAGTTAAGGAAAGACAGATAGTAGTTCTGCTGTTGCTGAGGCAGTAACTAGTCACTAAACACCTCCAGGGTTCACAGCCATCACTAGGTGTCATTTGCTTGCATGTTAGGGATAATTACAGGCCTGGACACCAAAAAGAGAATTCGGTCGTCATACTCAATCTTATTAACAGCAGGCAATTAGCATAGATTAAAGCTAATTATGTACCAGGGCAGAGAGATGTTACGCTAAGACAATAATAGGTTGTCAGTTTAATATATTGCATTTAGGAGCCCCGTGTACTGCTGGCTGAATATAGAATGTATTCTCAGCGAGTTGCATTTAAAAAGAAGAATGAAATGAAAGGCTGTTGTAATAAACATTACATGCAGCAACACTTGTATTCCTGCGGTTGATGTTAGGGAAGACAGAGCAATAGGCAGTGTCCGGGGTCCCAACTCCTCATTTCCACATGACAAAACTAAGTAATACCTGAGCACAAAAATGAATAAATAAGTAAGTAAATGCTATTTTGTAGTTGAGAAAGGAAAAAGGAAAAAAAAAATCCAAAAGAGCGGATCGCCAAGAGGAGAGTGGGCAGTTTATAGAGCATTCATCTAATTTAACAGTGAGCAACCAAGTTCAGTTCAGTTCTTCAGTCATTATTACGTCATGATTTTGATGGCTTGCTGGAAATCTGTTAGCTAGGTTTCTGTGTAGGGCATCTCAGCTTTTGAGCTCCTATTTTCTATATTAATAAGATCTTTAAAATGGCAAAGGCTTGAGAATAAGTTTGCCTTCATAATGGTGAAAGACGGAAGAGTGTTACACCTTAGATATGCCTTGTGGCACGCAGAAGAAGCTTGCCCTGGTAGATGGCTCTGGAAATACAGTGCGGGATCAGCAAGTTCTCCTGAGCATGAGTCTTGTGTCCTGTGTTGGGTGGGAAAGATTCCATTGCAGTTCTCCCCCACAACGGATCACATAACAGAATCCTTCCCTCCCACAGAGGTTTTATGATGCGGCTGAACCCTATCGTCTCTAACCTTAATACCTTTGTCTTTTTCTCCTTAAAGACACCAAGATCTTGATAAGTTCATCAAAGTGAATCCCGCTGTTCTTGAAAACAATCAAAGGTAATAAAACTGATTTTTAATGAGTTTGGGTCAGGAAGAATATTCTGTTTTATTATTCCAGGTAGAGTTAAAGCATTGTCCTTACTAAAATAACTTTATTATTAACTCATATTTTTTCTGTTATTCTGCTGAAAGAAACCATGACCTGGATGGCATCATCAGAGGGAATCCTGCAGTGACCAGACAAAGGTAGTAAGAGTAAAGCTGCTAACTCATGGTTTCACCTGCTTTCCTTGTATGAAATGGGTTTTTTACTATTGCTGTATTGATCTAGCATAACCCAATTACCATTACTTATCCAACCCCTTTCACTATTTTAAACAGCCAAGACTTGGACAACCTTATTAAAGTGAAGTCTCCTGCTCTCAGAAACACAAATGGGTAGGTGCCCTTACCTGACTGATTTTGCAGTACTCCCAAGGTCCTGGGGTAGGAATTTTCTTTGTGTGTGTGTGTGTGTTTAAGAAGGTTTCTAGTTTTCTGTAGTTTTCAAAGAACTCATTTATAAGCTGTGTGCACCTTGTCAACATGAAGACATATTGAACACTTCTTAAATAAATTGCTTGGTTTTGGAGTGAGCTCTGAGCTTCTTATTTATACTAAGACACCCCAATGTTTGTTTCTTAAAGATAAAGGAATTTTTAAATGAAAAATGAATAAAACTAAACGAGGAGAAAAAATATTTTGAGGAAGCTAAACCAACTTGGAAAGTTTATTTAAGTTCATCAAAATCCCAAACCTCAGCTTGCCTGGGCTCACAAAGTTTTCCAGCACACTTTAATCTTGGGCTTCCACCTTGAGGTTGAGGCTATTGTCCAATTTGCTATTTTTAAATTAAAGTAAAATTAAATCCGTTCCCCCTTCTCTTTCCTCATATATCCCTCTAAGATACCCTTACTGCACCTCTCTTATGCCCCCAACTGTCAAATTAATAGTCTCTGTACACACACACATATAAATACAACCTACAAGTGTCTACTTTTGTTGTTTGTGTGTAGATAGTTTCAGGGACAACTTCTTTGGTTAAACAGTAAGGTAGCTCATTCCTTGGAGAGGCTAATTCTCCCTGTATCCTCAGTCACTGGTTTTCTATTCTTTTGGTCTAAGGATGGGAGCCTGTGATATTTCTCCTCCTCACATTAGCGTATCTGTTAATATTGTCAGTGTTCTAGCCTCGTTTATACAGTCATTTCTAGGAGAGACCGTGTCATAGCAGACTTCCTGACATTCTGGCTCTCACAGTCTTTCTGTAGCATCTTTCATGCAGCTCCGTAAGCTATAGATACAGGAACTGTGATATAGATCTATCCTTTGGGACTGGGATCCCCACTGCCTGTCGATCTCTGCATTGTGTCTAGTTGTAATTTTCTGTGATGATCTCCATTTGCTATAAAGAGAAGCTTCCTTGATGCGGGGGAGGACACTCAATTTTATCTATGGGTATAAGGATAAGATTTAGAATGTAGTAAGAAATTATGCGGGTTTAGCAAAGTGATGTTAGTAGATTATTTTCTAAAGTCCACAATTACACTAGCTTCAGGAAGATATCTAGGTTTCTAGTACCTTGTGTTGAGTGGGTCCTAAGTCCAATTTTTGGGTGAATTTTTTTTTTTTGTTATGGGTAGCACTTTTGGGAGATTTCCAGCCATGTTGGTAACAGGTCTAATAGCCAAGTTATGCAATAACTACTAGGTGAACTTGGTAGTGATGCACATTTATATCAGTGAATTAAAGTTCATATTGTCTTATTTACTTGAAATTTTATCATAATAATTATATAACTGGTACTCATGGCCTAATATTTTGAGATAAAGGCAACAAATTCTTTATAAAAAGTACTATGAACCCAGGATGAGAGAAAGGACAATGTGGTCTTACCTTGTTTCCTACATCAATAACTTAATTTCCTCTTGTTTCTTTTGATCATTGGGGTATCGGGGTCTTGAAATTATGACATCCTGAAAATAATTAAAGAGCAACGTCTACTCAGAGGATACTTACTGAGCACCTGGGCAGTCAGACTAAAAATTGCATGTGATTTATCACCACTATACCCCATGCTATCTATATATATTCCTGTGCTTTATTTTGTAGAGGAAAGTATAACTCAAAGATAATAAATTGCCCTTCAAATGAAAAAAAATGCAGTAGATATGAACTCAGATTTGACATTATGACCTTGAGGAGGACCAACAAATATATGTGGTTAAGTGATCCTAGGCTCTCTAATAAGACCTATTTACTTCTTAGAATTAGAATTAAATAAGATAATTTCTTCACAGCGGTAATTATTGGGGTGGACTTTTTCGTTATCTGTAGAGTTTTGGGAGATTATCAGTCTTGTTGGTAACAGGTCTCATAGCCATTATGTGCAATAACCAGTAGGGGAACATGCCTCCAACTCCTGCCTCTTGCCTATCACCTTTGGCAATGGCAGTTCTTACCGGAGTCTCGCCTCTGGTTTTACCAGAAGAGGAGGTAAACTTCATAAAGGGTAGTTTGTTTTCTAGCAACTCCTTTTCTAGAAATCCATAGAAAGAGGACATTTTTTTTTCTTAAGCAAATATAATACTATTCAAAGTATTTAAAAATATTCTGGGCATCATAGAATTCTATGATGGCAGCTGGGTCAGCTAAGCTAAGCTGTCTGACTATTCTTTAGCAGTGTACTAGACTGGATGATGAGCAGCCAAGGACTATCACACAGCAGACACATAGAAAAGACTGAGCTGTTTGAGAAGAGTGTATTTATGGATCGATTCAGCCACCTGTATCTACCGTGTAACCATGCTGCCCTCTTGATTTCAGCATAGGTAAAGAAAAAGGGATTTTAAAGCCCACAAAGCCCTTTTACATCAGCGCAATGCGACACAGGCACCAATTAGTTCGTAGCAAAGCAGCAGTGAATCTGGTCTTTTGTGTGACTTTGCTGACACTTCCCGCAGCTGCATATTTAATTCACAGTTAGAGACTGAATAAACTTCACTCATCCATCAGAAATATATACAAGCATCCTTGAAATCCCAGGAACACAGCAACCAGAGCAAATGCAGATGTGCCCAGAATGTCCATTTATTCCAGGAGAAATAGCATAGCTTTTAGTAGCGATGTGAACCAGCCCTAAAGAGCGATCCCATTATCTGTCGTCAATAAGCAGATGTTATATTAATTATTAATATTCTAAACTTCTGCTTTCAAATAGGTCCTGAAAAACACTTCAAATTGCTAGTGATATTAAAGATTTTTTCTAGTAAAATGGACATCGTTCACATAAAGCAAAAATCATTTCTATTTGTGGTTATAGTTCCACTTGTCAATATTTTTTCGGTTTGCTAACATATACCTTCCGAGATGTCAATTTCTGTCTCCCTGCTGCCTGTCTCTCATAGTTCTGCTAAAGACGTAAACATGGGGTAAGTGATTCTTGCTTCACTTCCCGTGACCAAGGCATCTTTCTACCAGTCATCACTGTCAGATGCTTCTCCCAACAATCTCCAGAAGTGGTTCTGCATCTTCCACAGTACAGCTGCAGCCATGGTTACTTTCCAGCCTTCTGACCACTCCTGCTGCTAGTCATGACTTCCAACTTTGAATCTGTCCACAGGGATGAATAGTGATCTTCCTAAAACAGGAATCTGATTAGGTCATTCTTTGGAGTATAATCCTCCAGTGGCTTCCCGTTACTGTAGCGTCGTGGCCATGCTCCTTAACCTTGTCTCCAAAGACCACCATGGTCTGTGATTTGTGTGGTCAACCCACCCCCCTGCAAGTCCTCCCACTCTTCTCTCATCCCCATCCTTTCCCATCCCCATCCTCCCTGACTTGTGCTCTTTGTTCCCCTCTCACTGCTGTATCAGAGAAGCTACTGTATATCTCACTCAGACTCAGGGAAGCCCCTTTCAACCTCTAATTGTACAACACTCCATATATGCACTTTTGAGTGAATTATTATTTAATACTCTTTCCATCTATAGGGTCTTTAAAGACATATGGATGGAATTACCTTGTTTCTTTCTTTCCTTATGTATTGCAGTAACATAATGACACTATGCTGATACATATCAGATATTTAACAAATATAATGCGAATTAAAGACTAAGTATCAGAATAATCAATGTTTTATGATAGTCTACATAGGTAAAATCTACTGTATTCAGTCTCCAACATTCTAAGTCCCCATCACTGAAACTAAATAAAAGAAATCTATTTTTTATGACTGATTTCTTTACTTGAGCCAATAACTGTTTTCTGCTTATGACAATCTCAAGAAATTGCAATGGGGCTGGAGAGATGGTTCAGAGGTTAAGAGCATTGCCTGCTCTTCCAAAGGTTCTGAGTTCAATTCCCAGCAACCACATGGTGGCTCACAATCATCAGTAATGGGGTCTGGTGCCCTCTTCTGGCTTGCAGGGATACACAAAGACAGAATATTGTATACATAATAAATAAATATTTTAAAAAAATGAAATTGCAATGACTCAAGAAAACTAAAATTACTAGTTATATGTTATATTTAAAATATTTAAATAATATGCAGATCTATTAATTTCTTGAATATAAAAATCCTTAAGAATATAAAATACTCACTGACGAGATTTATAAAAATATGCAAATGTCATCCCATTTTGCTATGTCAATGAGTTAAGCAATTATGTGAGTTGTTTCACTAAATGCAATATTCTTCTCAAGGAGACTCATTTTGAGCTAAAAATCTAATGCCTAATATCAAATCCTGACATAAAAATATAGTTAAATTTTGTGTGAAAACTTCTTAATTTTGTAAATGTGTTGGACACTTTACAGAAGCAGATTAAGCTAGCAGTGTAAAGAGAAGCATATTGTGCCCTATTAATAAACCCCTCCGACATGCACACGTGAGGGGAAGAGTGGTTAGAACTGAGCTAATAACTTTCTCACATTGGAATATATCCTAGGAATGCTAACAAGCAACAGTGTCCATGTTTCCCCTTGATCTGCCCTGTAAGGGAGTGCCACACCCCTTCACACAACATGGAGAATGCATTACATTGTTACAACATGGAGAATTCTTATACTGGAAAGTACGTATGTGGCTTCATACCTTAGACAACTTACAGTCTGCCCCACATGTACTAAAATCTATATTTTAAAATAATTCTTAGACCTATGGATGTATCTTAGCAGAAGTCATGTCTAGAACATGTAAGACCCTGGGCTTGATTCCTACCACCAAAATAAAAACCAAAATAAAAATGAAAGACTCACAAAGACTTCGGAATCAAGCATTTGCTCAACCTCGCAACATTTGGCCTGGACTTCTATAAAAAACATTTATCTTCCACACTTTGCCTTACAGCTTTTCATCTTTTGCCACAGTGTGAAAGACACCACGCAATCCATGTGATCTTAATTAAAGAGCGTTTATTTTTGCATCTGTAAATTTGGACAGTTTAAACTTCCCTTACTGGATCTACCCATCTCTCTCTTGCCACCCATCAGTGTGCATACTCCAAGCAAATGCACACTGTGTGATTTTCATCATTTAGTTTGCTTTAAATATTGGTATAGATTATTCAAACTAAAGCCTTATAGCTTACACAAACAAACTTGATGTGTGCTGTTATCTAATAAAATAAGAAAATCCTACGAAACCTCCAATAATATATATGGTTTCTTTGGTGACTCACCCTACTTTGGGAGTATCTTCTTTGAACGCATGTATAGGCTCAGCTTTTGAGTTACCTGTTGTGGCTGTTGAATCTGCAAGAATCTGGCTTCCTCTGTCTCCTCAGGTGGAGCCATTCTTTTTCCATCTCTCCAAAGCCATGGCCCAAAGAGCAAGCGTGAAGTGTGTAGGCAGAGAAATATTCAGTATCTGTAGCACTTACAAGTGTCTTGTTCTTTTAATCGAAGATGTCCACCCTCAGGCGGAGAAACTCAATACAGACTTTCTAGGGATACCTTAACAAAACCCATATACTAAATCACCTAAACACACGAAGGATGCTTACTCACAGTTCTTGAGGTGAGAAATCGGAGATCAGGTCATCATGGCAGGGTTGGTTTCCTCTTGGGCTAAGAGGGGGAAATCTCTTCCAGACTTTTCTCCTTAACTTGTATCTTCACATATTTACATAACACATATTTTGTTCAAGTCCATATTAGAACTTACTCCCAAGCTGTAAAAAGCCACGGATTCCTTAAGTGCAGCACCTGGCTACCTCAGAGTCATCACAGTGGAGAGAGAATAACTTTCTGGCACAGAATTCTGATTTCCCAATATTCACATATGTGTGATCTTTTACCATCTACTTCTTCCAGTCTGAATGAACACTATCATAGTCCACAGCTCAAGCTTTTAACCACTTAGTGAAAGCTGTTAAGGTAATAAAGCAGCCTCTGGTACCACAAGGGTGACTTCTGTAGTTTTTAGTGAAAGCTATCCTTTAGGCAAATTCAAAGCCTTCTATCTGCATTACAAATTTGCAGCGTTGATCTTGTACAACTTTGTCTGATGGTGTGGAGAAATTCAGTTTTGAATTTTATGTCATTATTCATTTTACAACATCAGCTAATATTCCTGAAATATTGTACCTTTACATAGTTTCACTGGCGTACTTAAACTCACATTAAAGATATTTAAACTAATCTCCTCATTTTTAAAAGCACACAAGTAGTTTTTTCTTAAGTGTGAAGTTTAAGAAGCTAAAGTATGCTGACTAATTTCCATAATTTATCAATTATTAATGACCTGGATACTATTAACTTTCTCTCCATATAAACATGAGGATACTGTATTGTATATTGCATCCCCAGCAATGTTAATTTTGTAAGTGAGAATGTACATGCTGATTCTTTATATGGTAACTTTACTTGAATCCAATGTTTTTGAGCATGAGAAGAAAGAATTTTAGGAACGGGGATGAATTCCAGAGCTGTGAACATTTAGGACTGAAATGAAAATGAAGAAGCCCCTCAAGACTGTGGAGTCAATAACTCACTTTGACTTTACCACTAACTGTTTGCCCCCAGCTGCTCACCACTAACCCACGGCTCCATCCCCAATCCTATCAATTATTGCTCTCCTCTTACTGGGTTCACTCACACCTGAATCATTTTCCCAGGATTTGTGTTTCTCTCATCAAAACCATGTTGTATTGGCTATTAGGAGCCTCATTTAAAAAAAAACGAAGCCTAAAGAATTATGTAGGGGAAGTAAGGGAGGAAATGGGCCTCACCGTTATTCTGAAGTGGTTCTTCTCCTCGGCAGGTTTCACGACAAAGGCTTTTCCAAACTCATGAAAACAGCAAACAGGATCTTTCAATATTATATTCATATGCAAATGACTAATCTGTGCTAACAGGCCAGAGGACCCTGTCCATCATAGAAGATGTAAAATCACTGAGACAGAGATTTAAGAACAGCCTCTATCTTGTGACTTTTTTATTCAGTTGTTTGTCTGAGGCCTTATATTTGTGCAACCCAATTGCATGGATGAAATCTACAGCTAAAAATATTCAAGCGTTGGACATTTTCTACTGAGTTCAGTTCTTCGTTCTCCTGTAAGTTGGCTCACGAGCTTTGGGAGACTCGCTCCGCCTTTCCGAGCTCCAGATGCCAGCTCTAAGATTTCGTGAGATATGAATGAGATACTTCACGTTAACATGCGATTGATGCTTCAGGACTCAAACCTAGCGCTCTTTCAGTCTGAGTCGGACACTTTTCAGACTGGATTTCCCAAGCTTTCCAAAAGTGATTTCTCTCTCACGTATAAAATCCACACCCATTTAAATGGTGCTAGAATCAAACCCAGGACCTTCTGTATACTAGGCATGCCTGATATCTACCCTTCAGGGCTAATCCACCCTTACCTACGAGTCAATAGATTAAATAGCTCAATATCCAATTTCCAGTCTTCTGAACACTTATAAACCAAAAGTGACTATGTCTAAGATGATGTGCTGATTTTTTATTGAATTTTTTAATTTAATAGAATTGTGTTATAACTAAATCATGCGCACACACTATGCTTTTGTTTATATTTATTTATATATTTTTTAGAGACCGGGGCCTAGAAAACTTAACTGAAGTAGATTCTCATCTATCTGAAAATAAGAATGGAAGGTAAGATTGATTGCAATTGGCTTTATTTCTTAGGAATTCCTTTTTTACCCGAGTGATTGTTTAGAACATTTTCTGGGGAAGTTGAATTGCATTATAGCATTTAAATATAAGTACTATCCAAGTCAGAAAAGTTATGGCACCATATGCTTAATTTCTAACACAGAAAAATTAACAGAGTTCTAATTGTGCTAGAATTTCTCAATTCTGTTACTCCATCCTATTACTTGGTATAAAAGGTGTCATGAAAATTCAAAGCCCTTTATTTGGGTTGTGAGCGTTTATTTTTACCCACTGTTACTTGGTAGGTTTTCAGGAGGGAAGGAAGTACCCTGCGACTCTCTTTTTGGATATCTCATGTTCAAAAGCACACACAAATTTCTCATTGCAACAAAGAAGAATTTCATTTTGAAAATTCCTTGTACAACAGAGTATAAGGGCTTTCAAACCATCAGTGTCTGTTACTATCCTGTCTGTCAATAAGAGGTGTTAGGATAGATGCTCTACCTCATTGCTACACACAACTTAAGTTAGGAAGGGACTGATAACTTCTTCATGTGTAACAGTGCTTCTATTTGTGTTTGAAGGACTCTAAAATACTCATTTTCTTTTTAACCTTCCCAAGGTGCCTCTAGTTTTCCTAAGCTTCTGTAATTGCATAAGAAATAATATTGTTGATTTTTTTTTTTTTTTTTGCAAAGAGTGGAATGACTATGGAAAGAGGAGCTGACTGTCTTTCCTTACACTTGAATCTGACAGACTTCATGTTGCTCTGGTTCTCCAGATCATCTGTGCCTTTTTGCTGTGACCCCAACAGAGTCTCTGAGTGAATGAAAGAGAAGTGTTCAGTGGGATCCGCGGCTCATAGAAACACTTCTGCTAAACATATCCCCCAAACACATCCACTGAACACATCCACTGAACAACAAATCCACTGAACACATCCACTGAACACAACCAGTGAATAACACATCCACTGAACACACCCACTGAACAACACATTAACTGAGCATATCCACTGAACAACACATCCCCTGAACACATTCACTGAACACGTCCACTGAACACATCTGCTGAACACATTCACCATGGGGAACTGCCTAGGACTGACAATTGACCTCATCCAAACATTATTTGGAAGTGATCAATGCTATACACAGTCTGAGTGGTTAAATGCAGTTAAGGAACTTTCCTTTTAAGTTGATTTAAAAGCTGCTCCGTTTTCTGTTCATGAAATAAGGGTTTATAGAAAGGATTGGTGGGGAAACCGTTTCTGAAAGATTGGAGCTTTGGTGTATGATTTTTAGGGAACTGAATTCAGTTGAGAGCAGCAGTGTTTACAGATATTGCCCACTTTGGTTTTTGCATTTTATAAATTGATGATGTTTTAAGTTTGCACCACTAAAGGCAATGTAAATTCATTACAATGTTACTCATTACCTTCTTCTTCGAAGCTATACATATCTTAAATTTTATAGTGTGTATTATGTGACTCAAATATAATTAATATATATTTAGTGGGACTGGAGTTTGAAACCAGTGTCTTATGAAATCTAGCAAAGCACTAAATTTGAATATTCTTCAACAGTTCAGAACCAAGTTTATTATTCTTGGAATGATGTAGCATAATAATTACAAGAGAAAAAACCTACTACAGTATTGATCTCACATTTTTATTACTTTGCAATTTATTTTTAGGAAAACAGAGAGAAAACTTACACCCTAACTTCATTCCATAACTTCATACTTGGAAATTTCAGTGTCTATTTAGCCAAGACTATTTTTTTTTTATAGTTTAAAAAACAAGAGAGCTCCAGGTACCTCCTTGTAGTATTTTCATTTCTTTTATTAGTTTTATTTTTTGTGTGTCAGAGATGATCGAGTAACACATTTTCTTCCTTAAAAGTTATATAGGACAAGGTTACAGAGAAGGCTCAGAGTCAGTAGCATGTACTGCTCTTGCAGAGGACCAGAGTTCAAATCCCAGCACCCATGTTGGGTAGCTCACACAGGCCTGTTATTCCAGCTCCAGAAGGATTGCTGTCTCTGGCTTCGGTGGGCACAAGGCCCGAGGAAGTTCACAAACCCACCCACAGACAGTCTGTTTGATAATATGGCTTAATGAAAATCTGAACTCTTCCATAGGTTTTCAAGTCTTTGTTCGCAAAACTTACCAACACAGAAAAAAAAATTGCTACAATTTTTACTATTTTTTCATCGGAATTTCCTCTATTGCATGGGAGAAACGAACGTGTTTATGCTCTGTTAAACAAGGTGACATTTTTAGATCAGCAGAAATCTAGGTCAGACTTCTGAAGTCTTCAAAGTATTACCTTTCATTAACAGCAAAATGGGAACTCACGTGTCTCAAAGCAACCCCTGGATCATTCATTAAGTTGATGAATTCTTGGATATGTGATACAAAGGAAGTTATCTGAAGGGATCTGCTATTATGAAAATGATAGAGGAACTAATTTTCAGTGGATTTTATCCTTGGTGAAAATACATTCCTTAGTAGCATTAGATAACATGGCCTTTGTTTATGCATTATTATGAAAGGCAAGACAGTGATTTCTGTGGAGCCAGGGTAGCCAGTAAAGTGGTCTATATTACTGTGCAGAAACCAGCTGGATGTAAAAAAGGTGATGACTACTTAGTGAAATCTTAATAAAAAAAATACTTGACCTTGATTTTGAATGACAAACACATATGTTTCTTCTTGCAGGCTCGATGGCCAAGTCAATGGATTCACCAAAAATCTACTCAAGGAGTCCACGAGAACCTCTGTCTATTCTTATGAGGCCAGAAACAGCCTCAGGTACTAAAACCAATGACAAAACCAATGACAGGACTAGCCTTGTGTTTATTTGTTTACATGCAAGCTAGCCATTATTTTTAAAGCATGGAACTTTCTATATGCAAATATACCCTTACATGAAATTGTTGAGTCAATCATTGCTGGGATGCTCTTAGAGGAATATAAAATGTGATGGTTGCTTTAAAGTCTACAATTATATAAAACATGATGATGACATCAATATTGGCATGACATCAATATTGGCAGTCTTTTAGAGGTTTATTGATTTTATTTTATGTGCATATGAGCATACATGAGCCTATGTATGTGAACCACACATGTGCTGGTCCTCACAGAGTCCAAAAAGTATCAGATCCCTGAAACTGGAATTACAGGTGATTGGGAGCCACCCATTGTAGGTGCTGGGAACCAAACCTGGGTTTCCTGCAACAAGTGCTCTTGCCTACAGAGCCATCTCTCCAACATGGGTGTTCACATTCTTGAGTGAGATCTGTCAGACTATATCACTAAACCTGTGGTTTGAACAACCAGTTAAAGATTACTTTTAACTTAAGGATTATGGGAGAAATTTATTGCTTAGAAATGAATGGGGCATCAGGGAAACAGACACTAAAGTACAGACAGATAAAACTATCTTCATGCTCTAAGACAAATTTACTGAATCATTAGTTTTCACAATATTAATAACAAAGTAGAACAAGACAGTGGATGTTAAGAATGGGAGAGGTGGAAACATTCTTCAGGAGTTGATTAATAACACTTGAACATTTTCATTTGAACACTTGGTTTATATTCTTTCTAAGGTGTGTATGCGTGTGTATACATATATGTATATGCACACACATATACACACCTTAGAAGGAATATATATATAATATATTGTATATATATTGCCTTTTGCATTGAATTGGAAAATGGTTTTGTTTTTATCTTCCTCACAAGTGATATTTTAACATGAAACTAAATGATTTTATTGTAGCTCCAATGCTGGAACCAGGAATGTTGGCCCCAAGGACACGGTTGTCTACACAAGGACATATGTGGAGAATAGGTAAGGGAAAAGTGCTTCAGACATTTCACTTCTTTTTATAGCTGTGTAATGATCCATGCCATGTAAGAGGTGCTACCATTTCAGGGTGTGAGTTTTCATAGAGAAGATAGTTTAAGAATATTGTTAAGTTCTACGCATATAATATTTATGTTGTTCCCAATATTAAATAGTTGATAAATAACTTATAGTCATTGTATATACTCAAAATAATTTCAAATATGTTGATGGAAGCTTCTGTCCTACCCAGTCCTGCAGTCATTCAGTCCCAAAGAAACACACAGAGGCTTATATTAATTATAAACTGTTTGGCCTACTACCTTAGGCTTATTACTAACTACCTCTCGCAATTTAAATTAACCCATAATTCTTGTCTATGTTTAGCCACATGGCCTGGTACCCCTTCTCAGTACTGCGTTCTCATCTTGCTTCCTCTGAGTCAGGCTGGTGACTGACTCTTTGCTTTTTCTCTTCCCAGAATTCTCATAGTCTGTTCACCTATACTTCCTGCCTGGCTACTGACCAATCGGTGTTTTATTAAACCAATATGAGTGACAAATCTTTAAAGTGTACAAGAATATTATCCCACAGCACAAATAACTAATAAGGAAATAACAGGATTGGTAACTAAATGTTATTACATAAATGTGTATGACCGTTTGGTTATAACAACCTTTTAATTTGAATCACCTCAATTCAAAGACTCTATTATTTGCACCCAATCTAATCTAGAAAAGAAGATATGTCTTTAGGTCAATTTATCATGGGCAAAATTGCAGGAATCCATGTCCTATAAAACAGTCTGCTTGGAATGATGGATGTTGACAAAGGTGTCAATGGAGGTCATGGATTCACAACACCTTTAATTTTCAAGGAGTATTAAAAAATGAGATTTGGCCTAATTATAGGTTAATATAATGGCAAACCATGTAAATGGAGACACATGTGATATGTGTAAACTTACTTCAAAAAAGTCCAAGACAACAGTTCCGGGGAATCTCCGTGTGTGTGTGGGAACTCCCAGGGTCAACACAGTGCCTCTCTGGGTCAAACCTATGTGTAACTTACACATACAGTTTCCAAAGTAATTAAATTATGAATTCAAATCTTTTTCTATTGTGACTTCATGACAGTAATTCCTGCTAACTTTTTTTTTATTTTTTTCCCTGCTAACTTTTAATTAAATTAAATGATAAAAATGTAAGGAAAAATTAAAGTTAATAGGTAGAACCTGAAAGAAATAAGCATAGATAGATAGATGATAGATAGATAGATAGATAGATAGATAGATAGATAGATAGATGATAGCATGAGTATGATATATAGTAAAGACAAGACACAAAATATTGGCAAGTAGGGTAAAAGGAATAGATATTTATTCTACACTTACATGGCACTGTTTCCACACATTGGTAACCCTAGGGGTAGCACATCAATACATTTTGATTTCTAAAGAAGTGTCTCACTGAAACTAAGGCCAACAACTGTGATATCTATTTTTAAGAAAGAGTAAATCTCTAGAATTAGGAATAGTCTACTAAATACTATTTTCTAGATTTTTTTTACTTATTGAGTAGATGATTGAAAATATTGACTTGATTTATACAAGTACAGAAACTAAACTAAACATATTTGAATAATTTAGCCCTGTTGGCTATGGTTCGCTCTTGTAAACTGCTATGCATGTGTTACTGGAATATCTCTGCGTGTGTACAGACAGCAATTCTCAAATGTGCTTTCTGGGCTGGATTCAACAGTATCACTTCAGTCTTGTTGCAAGCAAACGAAAATTACTTGGCCCCATCTCAGACCTGAAGAATCAGAAACTCTGCCATTGGGGTCCCAGCTATCTGTGTTTTCACAAATTCAACATGCTTTTGATGCAAATGCAGATTTGAGAACGATAAAAGATAATATTGTCGTGTCAGGCCAGGAACGTGTGGGGTAGAATAATCTGAAAGGATGGATTTGCTCCTGTTTGTTTGTTACCCTAACGTGACCGTGATGTCCCACAAATACCTCCAGCTTTCTTAAAGTCTGCTCTGCCGGATGGCACGGTATATTGTGACATCTCTAGAGTTAGGTTCAAGGCTAAGTTATTATTTGTTATTTACAAACCCAATAGCCTTGGCAAAGGGGCTGTGTGTGTGCGTGCATGTGTTTGTGTGTGTGTGTGTGTGTGTGTGTGTGTGTGTGTGTGTGTGTGTGTTGGTATTTTAATTTACATTATACTATTTTACTTACATAAATTACTTAATTGGTTAATTTCCACAGTGCTGAGAATTGAATTTAAGGATTTACACATAACAAAATTTTTTTAACCCCTAAACTGTCTCTCCAGCTCCCTATTTAATTTTAAACTGTCTCTGCGGCCCCTATTTAATTTATTTTGAGACAGGATCTTGCTAGTTTGCCTAGGCTGACCTTGAGTACACTCCATAGTCTAGGCGGGTCTTGAACTTGTGGTCTTTCTTTCTCATCTTCCACAGCAGATGGGGTTAGAAGCCTGTGCCTCTAGGCAAGGGAGCTTTATTTTAATAAATAAATGAGATATGCGTATATGTTCTATGAAAAATGATGATGTCTTTATTGCTTATACTTAGATTTAGACTGCCTTGGCCTGTTCTGGTTTTTGGCTTTTTTTGTTGTTGTTGTTTCATTTGTTAGTTTCTTCGTTTGGTGATGTGTTGACTTGCTGGGGCTTTTGCATCATTACTTCTACAAATTAAAAAATGAAATTGGAAGGACATCATCTGAGTTCACAATATTACAAATATAACAATAATAGTAATACTAATGTGTGAAGGGATATATGTTTTCTTACCTATGTGGGGGCAATGTTAGGGAAATTGTCCTGATTCTCACATGTCCCTATATGTTCATATTTAGTAGATCGCCAAAGGATGGATATCAGGAGAATATCTCAGGAAAATATATACAAACTGTTTATTCAACTTCAGATAGGTAAGTATGCTTATATTCCCATTTCAAACGTAAAGTGTATATATGTACATGCATGCATACAAACATATGCGCACTTTTATGTGCATAGACACATATGTGTATTTCCCTGTGTCTGTTTTTCTGGAGATGGTTTTGATTGGAGACAGGTGGGAATCCCATGGTAGGTGATTCTTGAAAAGATGAACTGACATTCCACTTACTATGGGAAATAAACAGAGCAGTCTATGCTCTGATGACATTCCACATCCACGGCCTCCCCAGTGCAAAGAGCATCTCTTCTGAAGAGGCAATTTCTTCTTTCTTTGTATTTCTGGATCTTCATCAGTGCTGGCAGAATGAGATGGTAATGTGGAGGCACAATGTTCTCCTTCTGATGTGCTTGTAGTCTTGAATAGGAAGCTTTGTTATATACATATATGTGTGAACGTAAAAACAGTTCATGGGGAAATACTTGCCAGGCATGTGTATGCAAGTAATTGTAGAATAAATTAAAAGTTGCAAATATTTATAAATAAACCTCTATGTAATTTGCACATATATATGAATCATTATATACTTTACATACAGGTAAATCTTTGTGTATCTCTCTATATGTATCTAGTTATTAGGATGATGCAATTAGAATGACTGGACATATAAGACCAGACAAGTTTTATTTACTTTTCATGCCTTTCCTCTCTCTTTCTCTTTCCCTCAATTCCCCTTTTCTCTGCTCGCTCTCTTGGGCACCTGGGCATGACATCACTTCAACTTGGGAAGTTAGAATGTCTCACAGGCAGGCTAAGGACTCTCTGGGTCGTGGTACTTCTGTCCAGATCTCCTCACTGGCTGCACGAGAGCCACCATTCCCTTGCCGTTCTGTGTCCTTGCTTTCGTTTCTTTAGAGTGTCACAGATGATAACAATCTTGACTCTTCTCAGAATGAACTGAGTTTGCCAAGTAAAGCTCATGGGAAGATGCACTGGACACAAATATAGAGTATATAATACACCATATACTATACATATTATATAATAATCATACGCTATATGAGTATTGTGCGTACATGGATTTCATCCATGTATAGCCAGAGTCATCAGAATAGGTCTCTTGGTGGCATAATAAGAGGATACAGGGATGCAGATCATGACAAAATTATTTTATGCGGGCAATATGCAAGTATTGGCTATTTTTATTTCATTATCTCATCATGTGTGGTACTCTTGAAGCTTTGGACCTACTTGCTAATAATGCCTCAAGCTGTAAAGACTACCGGAAGGTGTTTAAGACAATTTTAAGACCTTCCCAAAGGAAAAGGGCCTCTAGTTAAGGTTCTGGCAAGATTTAAGGTTTGTTACTAAGTTGATCATAATATAGTTCATTTGTTGTGGAATGTTAAGTTTCTAAAATAAGTAAGAAAAACCACTTTTCTCTCATATAATTGGTGGCAGGGTCATAGCTACCTTCCTTTGGAGAACAAATTAATTCTGTCATCATTTACATCCCTGCATCCTACTTCTCGCCATGGTACCAAGAGCACTGTTAGGATGACTCTTACTCTATAGAGTCATCATTTGTGAGTTCATAAGCACATTCCTCAACAGGTTTCTAGTTTGGGCCGATTGAATGCTTTCAGAATTAAAACCTTACATTAATCTGCTGCAAAATTTCCCTATGCAGTGCATAAAGTAATGTATGTAAATTAGTTAAACTGTTCTTCTAGCTTCAAGGACTCCTTTTGTTCTAGTTTAACTGGGAAACTGAGCATCCTATCTTGCCCAGACGTACTCTTGATTGCTAGTAAATTAATAACCCGAGACTTTTCCCTTGTGCTGCTTCCTTGACATCGTTACAGAATTAATCCTATCACGAGCATAAGTAAACAGTATGGTTTTGGATGTCAGTATGATTCCTCAAGCTCCACCAGGATCTACATGCTCCCATGTGATTTCACAGGAAATATGCCTGTCCCTACACGAGGGCAATTTTGAATGATTTTTAATTCTTATGTCACGACAGGTCTGTCATTGAAAGAGATATGTGCACTTACTGCCGCAAGCCCTTGGGAGTAGAAACCAAAATGATTTTAGATGAGTTGCAGATCTGCTGCCATTCCACCTGCTTTAAGGTAAACACGTACTTTCTTCATGTTACTAAGTATAAGGATGCACGATGATGAGAAAATACATTTATTTATTGAGTTGCTCAGAATGATGTTAAAGCTTTAAACACTGTCTAGTCCACATTAATAGTATGCTACTTAAGTCTTTTTTCATGTTCTACAGTTTCACCCTCAAAGGTCTATAATTACTACCTTGGCTTTAGGCTTAGAATTCATTCCTTTCACATCCCTTAGCCAGGAAACTTAAGACTCTGTATTGCAGTTATATATAACAAAACCAGCCATGGAAAACAGATAGTTGAGAATAAGCCTAGCAGCTCTCTCGTCAGGAGCTCAGGCCTCAGGCCTTGCAATGCTTTAAGCTTAGTTTGCTGTGGAGACCACGGTTAATCGCGGCTTAACAAGGAACAGAAATATTCAATAGCAAATGCATCCAAGTTTGGTTTAAATCAGCTTGTTGTTCTCCCCTCCAACGTGGTGTTGTGCTGGTCACATATCTCTCAGGGTATTTGCAGGCACTTCCCTGGGTGTCTGAAGACCTCAGTCTGCCTCTGCCCTTCAGAATGCTTTCCATGTGACTTTGGGCAATCACATAAATGACAACAGCTTTGGTTTCCTTACCTGTGAAATAGACCATTGAGTAGGCTGTGGTTCTCAATGCCAGTTGAGAGTTATAGTCATAGGGATTGAAGAAGGGAAAAATTTCTTAGACTACCCAGACTTAAAATTTAAGATTTCAGAGATTATTTTTGGACACTGGTGGTTTTCAAAGCTTTTTAGGTTTGTCTAATATGAATCCAAATTGAAAAATCTCTTGTCTAAGTCTGGGTCCTTTCTAGTGATGGGCCTGCGATGACCCATCTAGTGATGGATCTGTGATGACCCATCTAATGATGGATCTGTGATGACCCATCTAGTGATGGATCTGTGATGACCCATCTAGTGATGGATCTGTGATGACCCATCTAGTGATGGATCTGTGATGACCCATCTAATGATGGACCTGTGATGACCCATCTAGTGATGGATATATGATGACCCATCTAGTGATGGACCTGTGATGACCCATCTAGTGATGGATATATGATGACCCATCTAGTGATGGATCTGTGATGACCCATCTAGTGATGGATCTGTGATGACCCATCTAGTGATGGATATATGATGACCCATCTAGTGATGGACCTGTGATGACCCATCTGGTGATGAAAAGTATTTACTTTAGCCAATGAAAGGTACTCTTTTGCCCATTGATTTTTTTTGTCCACCAATTACCTAGCCATCAGAAACATGGTGCATTATTTGAATAAAAAGATGGCAAGAGAGCTTAGCATGTATACTACACTGCAGCCAATATGTGACCTGAGTTTGATTCTTAGAACCCAAATTCTGTAAAGAAAAAATTATTTCCCACAAGTTGTCCTCTGACCTTTCCTCTTGAGCCTCATGGCACATATACATCCAATAAATAAATATTTAAAAAAGAAACTAAATCACAGCCTAATGTAGCATTATAAAATATAATCTGAAAATGAAAACTAATATTTGATTATAACATGAAGGTTTTCTAGTTTCAAGATACATTTGCTCAAATAAAAGCATATACCTTAAAAATTTAAAATCAGTATGCACAAAATCTTTTAAATAGGAAATTTTCCTGGTTATTTAAATAGGAATAAATTTCATTTATTATATTTTAAATGATTCGTTTCCATTTTAAGCATTAGAGACTACGAGAGAACAAAAATGTTCCTCATGCTCATAGAAAAAGACAAATTGTTCTACAGCCATGGTAACAGAAAAACCACTTAAACTAGTTTAAATGTTTAATAAACCGATCAAAGGCAATTTGCTCTGGTGAATTCATCTTTAAAGCCAACCAGCAACTCACATTTGGAAGTTGGCCAATCAGCAGCAGACGGGTCTGAAAAAGAATAGAGTCCTACCCTTCCCATAACACTCCACCCCATCCCTGTGTGATCTGCAATTTGTTTGGTTCAGCACGTTGTGCCAGAATCGTACAGCTCTCCCTAGTGGAAGGAAATGATAAACACACCTCTGCCTTTTTGTTTGAGACATTGATGGTTACCCTGTCCTTGTCATAGCCAGTTTGTGAAAAATTCTGTCTGCTCCTCGGCAAACTGTGCAGAAAATCTCAGGGGTAAAGATTCCCTGAACTGTACCTGCATGTGGAAGGATGCTATATGAGAAGTTTGACATGTGGTGATTGGAAGACACACTGAGTTTCCCTGTGGACTCTCTTCGGGGCTGTCTGTGACCCCTTTCTCAGGAGGGTGGTCTCAGAAGAACTGAAGGGTTTTTCTATCCCTGCTCCCTTGAGGATACATTCTCTGTCTACAATATAACCCTGATGTATTGTTTTCTTTAGTGTGAAATATGCAAACGGCCTTTGGAAAATCTGCAAGCTGGTGACAGTATCTGGATTTACAGGCAGACTATACATTGTGAGCCCTGCTACTCTAAAGTGATGGGTAAGTGTCTACTCTGCTAACAGCAATCATTCCTAACTAATGCGGGCAACTATTTCATATTGATGAACAGGAAATATTCCAGCAAATTTCAATATTTTACTAAATATAGCTATTGAAAAAGTAAGTGACAGATAGTTAAACCATGACAACATTTGGTTTAATGACATAAATCAGTCAATACTGATACTAATTTTTTTTGGTATTGGTTGGGATACAGTGTAAACAAGGAGGCCATTTATTTTAGGAAATTTTCCAGGTTGTGAAGCAGAAATGATTTTTGCTGCCTGAATGACTGTTTAGTTTAGTCATTTCTGTGGATGCCCATTTGTGCTCAGACTTGGAAGTACATTTAAAGATAATTACAACCAATGCCTTTTAATGTGACTTTTGCCTGAAATAGTTAATTTTATATAATTCTATGTTAAATATAACATGTAAAGCTTTGTGGTTTTTTGACAATGCAGGACCAAATGTTATTATAATTTGGACTTTTAATTAGCATCAATAAGGAGAAAGCAAGATGTTATGGGCATGCATTTTTAACTAAGCATGAGAAATTTAAGGGCTGATCTAAAACACATGCAGAATGTGTCTGAAAAAATAATGTCCTATAGCATTTAATTGATTGTTACAAGAAAGTACATTCAATTTATTTTTAGATTCAATAGTAAGTAGAACAAGAAAAAAAAAACCCAAAATGTTATTGAGGGGAGGGCCCATAGTGTTCTTAGTCACAATGTTTAAAGGGCCCTTGCTCCTGCCAACTTCGCTATAGTGGATGAGACTCCTTGGGATTCCTGACGGGATCAAAAGCACAGAAGTTAATGACGAACGCATGAGCTTAATGAGCTACTGAGTGGCAACACTTGGAACAATATCCAGAGCCCCCATCCCATCAGGCTTCAGAACCAACGAAAGGAATAAGCCTGGTTATGTTTGTACTCTGCCTTCTACTTTCTGTTTCTCAGACTCACTTTCCTTTCTAATCCTGCAGTCCTAACCAGTCCAATATTCTGTGCTAATTCTTGGTGTGCAGGGGGCAACTCCAAAGCTTTTTAATCTCTTGAGAGTCCCTGACATGATGTAGGCGGTTTGGTGAGCAAGGACTCAGAAGTTACCAAGCCTTCCTCTCTCCCTATGTACACTCCATAGCAATGTTTTCTTTAAGAGAAATCGTACTCCTAGCTCTGTCTCTCTCTTGTTTCTTAAATCTACACACCTGGTGTGTAGCACTTTGTGTTTGACCACAAACAGAGTGAAGAGCTCAGGACTAGAAGGAGTGATAGAACGCTTGATCCAGTGCGATCCCTTAGGAGAATGACTGGTTTTTTCTTTTCAAGTTTTAATAGTGGTTTTATTTTCATATTGATTTATGTATCTAATTTTGTTTTTGAATTTTCAGCCAAGTGGATTCAGTAACACTGATAAGTGGAAATGAAGATGAAAAGCCTTCAGTGAAGAATTTAAAGCTACATTTTAAGAATATATAATCTAAAAAAGATTTACATTGAAGATTATCTCTTGTATTAACAATTTTGATAATAGAAAAGCAATCTAATTACTTTGAATAAGATCGCACACATGAAAAGAGCCATGTGGTATTTGGTAAGATCTAGTGATAAATACTCACATAGTTCTTGCTACCAAAGTCAATGGCAGAGAGCATTGTCAACCCTGCACAGGCCAGCCCTGCTCCATGTTTAGCTGCTCATCATGATTTTCAATAACCAAGTCTTCCATCTTCTCACCTATCTTCCCTAATAGTTTGTATTAGCGCTTTATAGATACCCTGACAAATAGGCTGATAGAAGCAAGATATACTTCTTCCTTTTTCTACAAACAAAAATGCACGTAGAAATTTTCTTACAAAATTTTTCAAGAAGAGCAGTGTAACAAGTTGTTTGAACTTTTGAAAGTCAAAGTTCCCAGATTTCTGTGATGTTCTCTATGACGCCACAGACATTAGACAAAGTAATTTCTAAAGTCCCTTTTTGCCTTTACAGTTATCTGATTATAAAAAAATGGAATTTTATGCTTAGAAACATATTGGTATATTTGTAAACAGTATTGAGACATACAAATAGTTTCACCTAGTGTCATCCTTCAGTCTATCACAGGCTTATCTTTTAAAAACTATTCTTAAAACTGAAATTAATAGTTTTATGGGTGATAGGTAAAACCATATGATGTGTAATTTGTTAAACTTACTTTGCATGCATTTCAAAATCTGAGAAATAATAGATATTGATTGCAAACATGTTATATGTGTTCATGTTACAGTTTATATTTACAGAAGGCTCATGACAATAAAATTATTTTCCCTAATGTTTGGATATCATTCATTAACACTAATTTTTTTCAGTTATACTGATCACAAGTTATATTTCATACTATGAGGGTTAACATTTTTAACTATTTAAAATATAGCTTTTATTTTGAAAGAATTCTTTTGTTTTAGAGTCGAAAATTCAATGATCATACAGGAAATTATTGTTATTGCTAACCTAGAAAAATTAAGCATAGTACGTAATTTATAGGCACATAACAACTGTTTCTTGAAGGAAGAGTGACTGGGCTGTGCTGGGACCTAGAATTCTAAGGCATTGGTAAGCAATTGTGAGAAAACAAGCTAGGGTAGTTAAAAGAGGACTGAACGAATTGTTAAATTCAAATAATTATTCTCCTGTGTAATAATGTTATGCATCTGTTCCTCTTAGACACTGGTCCACAAAGTGTTAAACGCAAAGTGCTTATCAAAATCAGCCATGTATAATTGTCCTATGGGGAGGGAGCCAGAAAAAACAATTAATAATAATTTGATATTCATTAATTCATGCTTGATGAGAAGCAGTGGTAATTGAGCCATATGTTTTATTGTTCCTTTATTACATGCTATCAGAGTGGATCAAAAGAAATAATTTTCTTAGAGTTGAAATTGACTGCAGAAAGCAAGGATTAAATTGCCCCCGTCTGTTTTGTAAAGTACATTAACATCTCAATGCCTCTGTAGTAATTAAAAATCATCCGAATATCATTTACAAACATAAAAATCTGAAGAGAACCCATTTCTCACTTTTCTATAGCAGGTTTATGGATACTTTCTTGTACAATAATGTACTAGACCAAGCCAAAGGCTGTTGGAAAAACAGAATATGCACATATCAGAGAGACAAAGGTTTCTGATTCCTTAAGACTGCTCCATTATGTCTGAGGATTGTCTCACTATTGAAATGACAGATCCTTTAGACAATTTGGAAGATTCCTTTTTTGTCATCCATTATTCATAATACGAGTGGTATGTTATCCCTAGACAAGATTACCAAATCACCAATATCAGGTCCTGAATTCTGTTATAAATGCTTTAAAAGTCTCCATAAGAGAAGTAATAGTTCTGTCAAGACAGCTTCCTTTGTGTGTGCATGTGTGATGTGTGTGCACCTACATCTGTGTGTGCATGTGTGTGTAGGTCAGAGGTGGTTGACTTTGGATGTGGGGCTCCAGTGACCTCCTTCCACTTTTTTGAGTCATGATCTCTCATTGGACCTGAAGCTCACTGATTCTTCTTAGCTACCCAGTCACCCTCAGATGTTCCCATCTCTGCTTCCCCAGCACTGATATTGCAGGCATAAGCCACCACGCTTAGATTTTATATGAAGTGCTGGGCATCAGACTTGTAGCCTCATTCCCAGTACCATTACCCATACATTCCATCACCAAACACTTCAAACTGACAAAGTCCTCTCCTCAAACCTACAACAATATATAAAAGCAAAATAAAAGGAATACCATGATTTCAGAAAGAGAATTTATTAAAGGAGCGTGTACTTCTAAAGGAAGGCCAAAAGGATGAACTGAATCAAGAACGAACATATCCTGCATTCCTTGACTGCAGTGGCTCAGCTAACTGATTCTGAGGGACAAGATGGTCCAGCTTCCACTGCTGATGACTTGCTGATTTTGCTTGCTAAGATGGAAAGGATTAGAACAATGTCCTGTTCAGCTGGATTCAGAGCTCTTCAAAACAAGTGATTTATCTACATCATGACAAGCTAATAATGAGAGTGACTTGTCAGTTGCCAGTGGAATGATCTTGGTACAATGTAAATAAATTGATTTGTAGAGTTCTACCTATTTCATAGTAGTCAGCAGTGTCCCCAGAGGAATCCACAAACATCCTTCTTAAATCGGATAGGCTTCTTTCTCTCCGTCTTGATGCCTTCCTGTGTGACGTGTGGCTTTAGAATATTGGCTCTCTAATGGACCATGGGCTCAAACATTGCAGAGATTACAAGTCAGTTTCTACTGCTCACTTTATGTGCATATGATCCATTTTGTTACATACATACTGAAGATTTGAAGGAAGCTACAGGGGGAAGGGATGTTGTAAAGGAGCAGTTTGAAGGTCGGGAGAGAGAGAGAGAGAGAGAGAGAGAGAGAGGGAGAGAGAGAGAGAGATAGAACAGTAATAAATCCATGCAGGAAATGAAGTGTGCTGACTGTGTGAATGGTACAGTTTGGGACATAATATGGCAAGGGAGGAGGAGTTATTTCAAATAAAACCTAGATTATTATAGGCTGATGTGGGATTTCATTGGTTAATAAAGAAACTGCCTTGGCCCATCTGATAGGGCAGAATTTAGATAGGTGGGTGGAGTAAACAGAACAGAATGCTGGGAAGAAGAGGAAGTGAGCTCAGACGCCATGCCACTGCTCTCTGGGTCAGATGCGATGAAGCAAGCCGCCAGGTCAGACATGCTGAATCTTTCCTGGTAAGACTGGTGCTACACAGATTACTAAATATGGGGTAGGCAAGATGTGAGAATTAGCCATTAAGAGTTTGTGTGTCGTTATTTTGGGGCATAAGCTAGCCAGGCGGCCAGGAGCTGTGTGGCAGGAACCTGCATGGGAAATAGCTAGGGTGAAGAGCTGTCTTGGATTTGGCAATAATCAGATCACATTCTAGGTTAGTCTAACTTCACTTCTTTTCAACATAATGAGACAGAAATTTAAATGCAAAGAGACAGTCAGCTAAAAAAATTCTGAAGCTTCCTTTAGTCCCCATATAAAATGATATTCAGACAGGACCCAGCTAGCTCAGTCAGTAGAGCATGAGACTCTTAATCTCAGGGTCGTGGGTTCGAGCCCCACGTTGGGCACCATTTGTAGTAAAATGGGCGGCGGGGCTGCATTCCCAGCACCCCGGCCGCCTGCTCGGCTAGCTTATGCCCCGAAATAACAACACACAAACTTTATTCTTTTAGACACTGCTTGGCCCGTTAGCTCTAGCCCTTACTGGCTAATTCTGATATCCGGATCAACCCATCTCTAATAATCTGTGAGCACCGGTCTTACCGGGAAAGATTCAGCATGTCTAACCTGGCGGCTTGCTTCATCGCTTGCGTCTGCCCGGGAGAGCGGAGCATGGCATCTCTCTGAGGCGTCTGCTCCTGAGAGGAGAGCTGTGGAGTCTGAGCTCACTTCCTCTTCCTCCCAGCATTCTGTTCTGTTTACTCCTCCCACCTATCTTCTAACCAATGAGGGCCAAGCAGTTTCTTTTTATTTAACCAATGACCTTCCTCCATCAGGACCCAGGCTGGCTTTCTGCTCTCTGCTAAGAACAATTAGTCCTGTGCCCCAGGATGAGATTTCTCTCTAGATAGAGGAGCCCACAAGCAAGTGTGAGGGGCTTTCAGGTGACTGGCAAGTGACCTGGGTTCCACCTGGAATGGAAACAAAGAATGATGTGGTGTAGGATCTCTCACCTCCTTTGAGGAGGGAATGTCTCGTCTCCTGTGTTCTTCTAAGTGAAAATGTTAAACAGAAAAGCACCATTCTTTCTAACCAAGGAGAGACATCCTGATGGAATTTTATCAACGACACATGTTCTTTTCCCTTGTTGCAATATGAAATCATATCTGCTAAGAAGAAACATTCAGAACTTGATATACCCCTCTCGACAATCAGTTTGTTAATTTTGCCTTTTTTTCCCAAGAGAAATGGAAAAATCTGTAGTGTCAGTGTCTTTTGGGCCCTGTTTGATAGGATATGGTATCGGCAGTGCCCTCAGTCACAAATAATGTCAATAAAAGATCCCTAAATGCATGGTAATTTTGTTTTGACACGTATGTTCACACATTTTACAAAGATTCAGAGAATGACTCATAGACCTAGATGTGAAAATTGAAAATTATAAAATTTGTAGGAGAAAACCCAAATACTCTTAAGCTTGATGAAGTTTTAACTAGAACACTAGGAGCCATTACTTACAAAACAAAAATTAATAAACTGTAACAAATTAAAATAAAAACCCTGCTGCATAAAAAAAAGCTGATAAGAGAATGAAAAGATAAGCCACAGACAGTGGGAAAATATTTTCAAAACACTTGTCTGTTAAGAAACGTGTCCCCAATATTTCCAAAATAATTCTCAAAACACAACAACAAAAATTAAAGTAAAATCTTCATTAAAAAGAGACAAAAGATCTGTCCAGACATTTCACGAAAGAAGATACATAAAAGTCATATGAAAGGTTCTTGGTGGCGTTTGTTAGGGAGGAGCCGCTCAAATAGCAGTGAGCTACCGCTACCCCCAAGAGGAACCCTGAAGTGTGCCACTCAGACAGCGGTGAGCTGCCGCCACATCTGAGAGGTGCGCTGACGTGTGTATGCTGTTTCCATGCTATAGCTAGTGATCCTGTGGTGGACTCACGTCCATATCTTTTGGATTCCCTCCAGTCTTCTCTCTGCCATAGCATCCCAACTGTTGACACTGCACCGCTCATCCTTTGGTTCCTCTTGCTTGCGAAGGTTCCTTCGGCTCTGCTGGCTTTGATGACCTTGCTACAGAAAGATTTTTTTCCCCCGATGCTTTTATCATCAGGTTGTGGGTACTGAAAAGGAAGACTACATAGTCCCATTCTGAGGATATCATATTGAGAGGAACCTGAATTATCTGGATAAGGTAGTGTCAGTTCTTTCCTCTTGTCAAGTTTTTTCCTCTCTCTCTCTCTCTCTCTCTCTCTCTCTCCCCCCCCCCCATAATTCAGCTTTAATTTTAAAATTTTATTACATTTTATTTTTATTACATTTCATTTGTGTGTAAAAGTGCACGTGTGTGCACGCTTGTGCACATACATATGCCATGGTGCACTTTGGGAGATCAGAAGACATCCTGCAGTACTTCGTTTTCTCCTTACACCATGACCTCTGTGTCCATTGTTGTCTGTGTTCACCCCCATGTGTTTGAGTAGTTTTCGATTTTTGGCACTATGAGATGCTTTCAGCCACTGTAAC